ACTGTCAAACGCAGCGAAAACGCAAAATATTCTGAAATTGTTTTATTTTAGCATAGTAAACGTTTTGACAAATATACGATGCAATTATGAAGTTACACATACTTTAGAATACCTACTCATCGTTAAGTAAACCCAAAATGTATACAATTCGATGGAATTTGAGATTATTTTGTTATGGCGGTCAACACATGGGACATGACCCGTTTTCAAAAATTTGTGTCAGTTACTGAGCAGTGTACTATACTTGCATACACCATACGTCATATGACTGCTATAATTCAAACGTAAAAAATGAATACAACAGCAATAACTAACAGTAAATAATTTACAAAAACGAATCTATAGTAAAACAAATACCCAGTAATTACCGGGTGATTCTTTTAACGCCCTACTTTACGTTTACTCTTAAAATAATTGCACATTTTTAGTGTTTCTTTTTAAACATATTTTTTTATGCTATATTACTATATGAGACAATATTTGAATTTTTCTCATTTTTAGTATTTCCTAGAGTTCTATTAAATTAAAACTTAAATGACTCCGAGTGCGGTTGAGAAATGCGCGCAGATAAAAATAACTTTACTCTCCATTCTTCCTCCCGTCCTAAATTTTAAACTTTAATAACTTTAAAACTATTTATTCAAAACTGTTTATCCACCAGTCAAAATTTTCAGCAAATTATTGTTAATTAAAAAAGTTAAAAAAATATATACGCTACCATTTAAGTTTTTAAAGTTAATAAAGCTCTAAAAAATACTAAAAATTATAAAAATTTAAATATTATCTCATATAGTAATAGGTAAAGCACAAACAAAAATATTTTCAAAAAGAAACACTACAAAATTGCAATTATTTTAAGAGTAAAATAGTGTAGGGCGTTAAAGAATCACCCGGTATATATTTTCTATAAAAATTATATTTTGTTAATTCTTTATTTAATTAATCACTGTAAAATATTGATTAAAATAAAAAATATAAACTAGGGATTATTCCATATTTTGTATAGAGTATTAAAAAATAAATGGTTCGTAATTGAACGAGTTATAGTTTAATCCGTTTTAATTAAAGAAAATCGCTCTATCGACCCAAATGATAACGCATTGGTTGTTTCGACAGTTTTATTGTTTTTACTCTAACGGTTTAATTGAAACCAATATTAAACCGTTATCGTATATTGTTCCATGTATCCACTTATTACTTATTAGAAAAAACTGATTTTAAATAGATAAAATGATTATTATGTTTATTTGATTTCAAAACTATATATGTTTATATAATACGATACGTCGATACATATTTCACTAGGTCACCAACTTATAAATAATAAGCACATAAATATCAATAAACAATATAAAATAGATATTATATTGTATGTATTTACAATATATGGCCGAGTTTTACTTGTGAATGAGTGCGTACATTTAAGTATAAAAGTATTAACTAGACAGTAAGGAACAGTACGGAACACAACAATGGAGAAGACTATGTGTCACTTCCTTAAAAAAAAGCACTAAACTTTTCAATTTGTCGTTGGTTTATATATTTTATTTTATGTGGTTAGGAGCAGAAAAGTTTATGTTCGTTAAATTTCTGACATCCGTTATTTTGGTGAAAACGTGTAATGTAAAATGAATTATTAAAAAAAATAAACGTACATAAATAATAAAAAAAGTGGTCACGTTTAATAAAATTCAGTCGAAGATTTGTTTGTAGTATAACACAAGAATATAACAAGATTGATGTAACGATCAAATGAACAACGGCATAAGTGTATGCATCTACAATGATTGGAAAATACAGACGTTTGATAGACGTGATAAACAGAGTTGGCAAAAAAAACCTAGCGGGTTTTTTTTTAAAGCCAACAATTGTTTTGGTATTTACCCATAAATTCAAGTTTTATTTGGTTTATGCATATCAATAAAACTTAACTGAGACGGGCTTTTTTTTAAAAAAAAAAGCGGGTTATTGAGAACTCTGTTTATAACCGAACCATTTAGTTTCAACAATAAGGTTGACTTTACATACATACAAACAATGAAACTAGTATATAAATAGTATAATATTAATGGCAATGACCCGTCCAATTAGTACCCTTAAATTGGGTATATTTTTGTATGCTTATGTTCAATATGTTAACACACAAAAACTCAGTAGCTTTTTGAAATGCCCGAAGTAAATAATTGCATGGATGTCAAGTTAAAAAGCGTACAAAGGCGGGCGGACGGTTATAGAGTAGAGATCAGCCACAACCACGAATATAATTTTAGGTAGATATTGCTTTGAAAGTTTATTATTATTATATATTCCCGTATTGTCAAGAAACCGCACTTCAAACTTGACACACGACCGGTGAAGTTATAATTCCGTTCCGTCTGAGATGGGATTTAGTTTTAGCCGTTTCTATAAGCTTATAGTTGCATGGAATCCTTTTGAAACCGTTTTGTCTTGCCGTTTTCCTCAAGGCGACCTGTCTTAGTTACTATTGCGGTTATCGCTAAGAGATGTTTTTTTAACGCTAAAAATTTTTCATCCTCATAATGCCCAATAATTATTAATATGAAATTAAAATTTTAACAGTTTCCAAAAAAAAAAAAATTGTATCTTATCTTTAATGAATCACCCTGTATACTATATTTGAACATTTCATAGCATTCCAAAACCGTAGGCTGTAATAATGTGGTAGATACTATTTGAATTTGAATACAACTTAAGCTGGGGCTTGGTGGCATGTTGTAATTTCTCTTGCATTGTACATAATATGCGGTTATTTTAATTCGTCTACGCTTGTTATGAAAACGATAAGAACATTCAAAGAGTTGTATGTGTTATATAGTTTTCCCTAATTTGTTTGAACGGGTTTCCGTTCTTTAATAAACATATTTTGTTTGCTTTTAACAAACACGACCGTTCGTGCATGTGTAGTTACGGGGCAAACGCCTCTTATTGCCGGTACGGGGGAGGAGACCTCTGTCGTTTTTTGAAGTGCACTTTGCTAAACTCTAGTCGTGTATTAAAAGCTAGCTTCTTAATTAAGTAACGCCGATTAATCCCGACGAGAAGCTTACAAGTTTGCTCCCTACACGCAGTCTTTGAGGTATGGCTGCATTTTTTCCACCACCTTCTACACCCTTTACCGGTACACAGAAGTCCTCGAGTACAAGTTACCCGAAAGTTTTACAGGGCACGCTAAGTCTACCTCCTAACCATCTCATTTGTTCTTCCGTACTACAATCTTGTTGCTATGCCGCGGCGGTTAGGTAGGTAACACAACAACGTCGTTATTATAATCTGTTTAATGGTGTCACTCACGTTTGCTAAAATTGTCATTCGTAAATCACATAAACGATAAAAATGTACTCTCGTATTGTAATTATAATTTTATTACGCGGTATACGCCGTTAACCGAAGACGTTACACATTGTTAAGGTCTGTCAAGGAACTAATGATGAATCAAGTCTCAAGACATCCGATTGTAGAGTTGTACATTATTCGAATACATGTTCACTTAAACAAATTTACGAATAAATAACTAACTTTTATTCCATTATTTTTATTTAATCATGTTTAAATTAACTTTTTAACCATGATTGATTTTTTAAACATGAATAATTTAATCGTTAGTTTATTCAAGATTAATTTTTAGCTAGGACTAATTTAACTGTTATCGATCAATGGTTAACATTTTTTTACGTACATTTATATTTTGTTACGCAAATTTTAATACTTGAAATGCGTAAGTAGCGAGCACGATAAATTATAAAAATGCATCCACATTACTAGTATAAATGTATTAAAATGAGCATTACATAGTAATTATAATATAGGGTATTAGCAAATTAACTCTACTGTAATTTTTTTGTGGAGTATTTATTTTGTCTAAAAGTGTCGAGACAATTTTTTATGGGATATATTAAATAATTAAAAGCAAATTTTAGTGTTTAAGTTGAAAATATCATATCCTTATTATTGTTAAGCAAAAGTTGAAAAGTTTTAAAAATATACATCACTATTTATAAATTATAAATAAAAGTCAAATTTTAAAATCATATTTTTAAATAATTTATATATTTATATATATATATATATATAAGTTGAATTTTAAAATCATGATTTTTAAATATATATATATATATATATATATATATTTATATATTATAAGTAAAAATTATGTGTTGTGATATTAGCGGGCTCACTAAAAACTCTGCTTGTCTTTTTAACACTCAAGGCAAAAGTTTGGTCGTAATTTTACTACTATTGTTTATAAAGAGCAATATTATGATACACTGAATGTTCACATCCATTTCGTTCTATGATATCGCCCGAAAGTGTATAGATTATTACAAGTACATGTAGCGTTACGTAGATAAGGCTTAGAGCATCAATTCGCATTGCCTAGATCCCAATATTGATCTGAGAACCCTATATGGTTATTAAGCAGACAACATGATTTAAATTTTAAACCTTATCTTAATTAACAATTTAGTACCATAAGAAATTTTTTATATATTTTAGTATAAAACAAAATAATGGTATGTTAAATTTGGGTGTGATTTCGAGTGTTTTAGTGGACAGGAATATTTTTATTTTTATTTGATAAAACTTTTTTTTTTGAAAAATAAATAAACTTCGGGAACTTTTCCCGATTTTGATTCGTTTTTCTTCGGCTTTTACAATAGAGATTATATTTTGTCTTTTATTTGGTCTGTAATTCAATAAATGAATGATAAACAAGAATAGTTCTCTGGTGGCTACCGTATAACCTTGTTATATTTTTACAACACAATTGTGTTAGGATTTAGGGACCAAGGTCCGAAAAACATATAAATATATATTTGTACAATATTTTATTATGTTTCCGATGATTGATTTTTTCTTAATAATATCAAGTTTACAGAACGATTGACCATGGACATGTTTGATGATTGTTTTTTTTATTGACCTAATCATTGAAATAACTATCTGTTCGAGAATATTTATAGGTTTATTTGTATTTTCAGGTTTTGCAAGCCAACAGGGATACGAACACAATAGTGGAAAGGCCTCTTGTACCCGTTATCGTCGCATCGAAAATCCGCTTAGTGCCATACAGCGGTCATCCGCGAATGGTCTGCCTACGAGTTGAAATCGTCGGTTGTTATCATTACGGTAAGAATAAATATTGTAACATGTGGACGTTCTGTATATGCTTATGACATTTTATGACGTGAGAGGGAGGAGGGATTTGAAAAATTGTAATTGAAAGAAAATTAAAAGGTATTATTTCATGAAACATAAATTGTATTAAATCCCGCGGACCGACGGCATCTATGTGTTTTAAAGGGTTAAAAAAATATATATGCCTAGCATAGTGCGAGAATTTACAAAGCTGTAATATAATAAATGACCATGTACTTAGCAATGAACTATGAAGTAGTTTATAAGGGTGAGCGACAATTTGAACAACGAAAATAAATGCTTTTACCAAGTACCAACCAACACGGATATTATAGCTCATAAGTCATAACATTGATTATAAATAATTTAGAGAGCCACTGGGCATGTAATTTTTTTTCTGCCCGTAAATTGTTGCCGTTGTAGAGCGCTTTTTACACTGTTTTTAGTTATGGCGGTAGTTACCATGAGCGCTGACAACCGTCGCGCATGCGCACTACGTCCTTCCGGGCTGTATTGCGCATGCGCGTGGATCGACAGCGCTCACGGTAACTACCGCCACAACTAAAAACAGTATGAACTTCTATGAAGCGCTTGTTATGTGCTTGTTAACAACTATCGAGTATCGGTGTTCTGTAGATGTGATTATATTACAATTAAAAAGTCATAACTAATTTATAACATATTTTTTAGTATAGCAACAAACATCCAACACTAGAAAAAAATCTATTTTGTCGTTCTGGTCAACACTGCATGTTTATTCCCAATATTTCATTTATATCAACCCTCGCATAATACAATTGATAATTATGCTTTTCTGGCATCATGCGCGTGATGACGGGAGTCAGGGGCTTCAAACATGGTCCCTAATCGTAATGACATGACGATTTAAAATGTAAAATTATTGTTGACTCATATCTATGATACGAGGTAGTTAAAATTGTTTTCTGGAAAAACACGTATCGCAAGACGACATTATTGAAGAAAAAATAATAATACTGCGTTTAAAAGACGGAAAAACTGTCGTAAATTCCAAACAAAGTTTATTTGAGAGAAACTGTCTAAAGTATCAAAACCCGTATTTGTTTTTTTTTCTTTTTCGTTTTTACCAAGTATAATATTGTTACACGGTAACGTCTCTACGTCGCGTCGGAGGCAATATAATTCAGACGTGCTATGTGTTTTTATTATTATTTTTTTACTCCCATTAAATTCTGTAGAGCGTGTCTGCTTGCAATGTCGCAGCTAAACGAATATTAATTTATGAAAAAAGGCCTGTTTATTGAGGGTAGAGAAAATCACTAAGAATGATATACTACAATATCTGTTAAAAATGTATCCAGAAGGTATTTTGAATGCATCTCACCTGTTTAGAGATAATATTTGTTTTAAATTTATTGGCGTTAGGTACGTTAGTTTTGTAAATTTATTTTTCTCATAGTTACAAAATACTACCAAAGTTAAATAATTTTTAGAATACTTATGTGTAATAGGTAAACATTTTATTGTATTAGTTATTAGTTATTAGTTATTACAGATTACTATCCGCATTAGCAAGGAGCCTTCCTAAAATAAATTAAATATCGTAATTACTATAACTGATTATTACAAGATTATACGTCTGGTAGCTTAATTGAACCGCATAAAAAATTCCTGTAGATCATTAGTGGTACCTAAAAGGTACATACAAGACTAAAAATTAAAAAAGTTTACTCCTTTCAAATCCCTTTCACATAGAAGTAAAAACCCCAATAAAATACAAATTGTTTAATAGTAATTTTTTGTTTTTTACAGAGGGTGTAATCAGCTATTCGGTTATACAGGGTGACATAAAAGATGTCGGGTACGACGGTCGCGAAGAAGGCGGTGTTTTGATCGGCGGCATTGGTCAACTGTGCGATGGCCGACACGGCGTCGACCAGCCGTTTGTGAAAAGTATGCCATGCCGACAGGAGTCTCTTCGTTGTTGTTTGTATTAAGTTTAAAAATTCGATTTGCTTACAGAATACAACGAATGGGTGGGTTGGAAAAACGACACAATGGGATATGGGTCGTCTGTGGAGATGACTTTTGAATTTGACTCGGTCAGAAATTTCACCGCATTATACATGTACTCCAATAACGACTTCAGACAAGGTGTTCAAGTAAGTGTTCGATAGTTTAGCACTTTAGGATTATAATCAAACAGCTATAAAAAAAAAAAAAATTGGAAACTTACTAATTTTAATTAGCCTATGGCAACAAATAATATACTTTTTCTTTCCTATGAACCTATTTTAACATTTGGCGTTTCTATTTTTATAAGTAGAGCATAATATAATATTGTATAAACAAATTATTTAGCACAATACAATTTAATAATTACAATTGTTATATATATATATATATTGATGTTAAAACGCTGTAATGGTATGAAATATGATGGATTTCGTATTGTCAAAATTAACAACATTGTTCTGTCACAAATGTATTCTGACGGTTCGATATTTTCGAACGTGTTATTTTTTCTCCATTACAAAATTATTTTTATAAACAAATGTCAACATTGAAAGTAATTTTAAAACGATTGGACCACGCATGGTAAAAATAACTCATTTACTAGAGTCTCAGATATCTAAGGTTATAGTAATGTATATACTCGATTTAATTAATTTTAATTAAACTAAAAATTTAATTTAACTTTAACTTGGAAATTATTCAAAGAAATGTTTAAAACGCTCTGTATAGGACGTCTTCTTTCAAACGAAAAAAGTTATTGAAGTCAGACTACAACTCTACAAGACGTAAGTCTTTTTCCGTAGGCATGTTTTCGACGAATAACTTCATTTTTTTCGTTCTCGTCAACATTTAAAATTAAAAGCACACATTTCCTGCTCCCCAAACCACCAAGGAATGAAAGTCCAGTTCTTAACTGAGACTAAAAATTCTTGCCCGGTGTAGTAAGTGACATTGCTCGCTTTTTTTTGTTGAAAAACAACTGACAATTTACTAACTTATTGGTACCATAACTGTGTTTATATGTTCATTCCATTACATATATCGGCGCAGTCGAAAATAACACAGTTTAATTTTAACTTCTTGAAAATACGTAAGTAGCCTAAAAGAGCACACTCCGTAGTTATCGTTAAATAATATTAATTTATTATATACAATAAAATTATATTTTATATCTTTGTATTAATATTTTTTTTCATCGGAAGAAAGGATCCATAAAGTACACAAGCCCACTTGTATTAAAACCACCATCACGCTTATCAACACACTTGTCCCACTGTGCTGTCTAGGTTTAAATTCGTCAAGTCTATGATATCAGACACTGGGGACTGGACTAGGTTCGATGGCATCAACTTAACTTTGATAATTTTAGTTTAAAAAAAAATTGCGCTCTTTTCGGCTGGGTTTTTATGTTCTTTTGGAATTGTAATTTGTGCTCTTTGGCTAAGATTTCGGTAAAGGGCGCTTTTTCGGGCAACGCTCACAATTATATTATATTGTTGTTTTGAGCTGGCCTGACAGCTCTTTGTATTATTTGCCTGTTAAATACCGTGTTAACCTAACCTAGTAAGTGGATTTGTATAATATTTCGTTGCAATATTGTTTCCAGGTGTTTTCACATGCCAAAGCCTATTTCAGCGTGGGAGGTGAACATTTTTTCCCCGAACCTGTGTCCTACACATATCCGGCGGATACCATCATGCCCGAGGCCAGAAACGTGACGGTAAAGCTGCACCATAGGACCGGCAGGTTTCTTAAGCTGCAGTTGTTCTTCGCCAACAAATGGATGTTGATCAGCGAGATATCGTTCGAATCCGGTAATTTCAATCATGAATGTTTTAATTAACCCCTTACCCCTCCCCGCGTTTTGGGGTCTTCGTGCTGTTCATCTGACCTTCTCCGTAATTACTATTATTATTGCGACGCCAAAGGACCGACAGGGGAATGGCGCGCTCCGATTGAACTCACATTACGGAGGTTTATTAAAGCCAATGAGACACCAATTAAATCCGCACTAAAATAGAGTGTGGGCTTACAACGTTATTATAATATATAAACCTTTGTGGAACGCGCATAAAGTCGTTTTTGGTGCATTAATAATTTTTCAAGTTGTTCTCATTTCTACTCTGCCAGCCAATACATGCAATTAATGCGCATTATAGTTAATTAAAAAACAAAATCCGTAATAACTAAAGTTCCACGATAGTTTCTTATGGGGTCACTTACCTACAGTTAAAATAGATTATCAGTTATGACTAACAGGTTTTCGATATTTGAAAATAGCGTCGTTATGTCTTCCATACCCACGCTCAATTATTGCTAAAAACTAAAAAGCCAGATTTAGCAATTCGGGTAGTAAAAGAATTGAGAATTAAACATAATTTCCACAAGTCCGCTATAAGCCGATTTAAATTTGGTGTTTTTTATACTAAAATGTATTGTTTCATTTCTTTAATGTTGTCTTTAGTTTATTTGTAATGACTATAGGGCCCTAATAACCTATTCAACTAAAATCTCCGCTCTGACAACCTTACAAGACTGCACAGTCTTTGAAACGAATTCTAAATCATACGAAAGATTCTGTACACGTCTTCGTTTTCTAAATGAAACATGATTAAATCCACTAATTGCCTCGATTCAGATAACAATGAACACCACTATAAGACCAGAATTTATTAAATAGCGTATAGGTCCGTATAAGAAATAGCATAATATACGTTGCTTCGATAGAGGATGAACAATTTCTTTAACTATATTGGTAAAGCATATTTTTTCCCCTTTATTAATCTAACCTAACGTGTATTCTAATTATATTTACAGTGATGTACAACATTTCTTTTGAAAATATTTTGTAGAACCTAAATAAAGACGCCAATGCGACTATTATTTTTCATTTTATTCACGAGTCATCCCCACAATTAAGTTATAAAGGGCGTCATTACTATTAGATTATACGGTACTAACTTCTTCCACGTCTTATCTCGAGTAATCTTGCTTGAAGATCTTTTTTTATTATTATTTTGTTTGTCTTTTGATGTTGATCATAAAAATCTTAATGCGAACTCCACTGTAATAACTGAATACTCTTTGTACTTATTAAAAACCTATTGTTGCTCTATAATGGTCTCATTTTTAAAACAAGATTAAGTAGAACAATAGTATTATGCAATAGACCCCAGTTGGATTTATACGATATCCCTTACATATCTGATCTCAAATAATGATAACTTTCGTTTTGCTCTTCCGTCTAATTATTTTGCAGTAATAATATAGTTGCGTTACTCGCGTTATTCCGCAGGGAAATCGACTAAATGAAAGGCTAAAATTTCCATTCAGGTACTCGAAAGCTACATACACCTTCTCTCTCTCTTATTCCCTTCACTCGTCCCTCTGTACAACCTCCATGTGAGGTTGTGCACAACTCTCGAACATGTGTATCTCCGCCACACCACGCCATTATTATAAATGATTAAAATCCACCCTATAGTTCAATCAATTCCTATTGTAATATACGGTGATCATGCATTTTGCCCCCTTTGCCCTTTCTCCCTACCTTACTGTATTGCCAATACGACAAATGACGACCTGAGTTCTACAAATTAGGCCAGCCAGAGAACCAATCATTTATGACTTGTGATATGGGGAGGAAAGCGTGTAGGTATATTGATAAACGAATACTGGAAAGGGTGTGATAAAGTCAAATTCATGTTGTCTCATTCGTTATTGTTTCCCTTAAATATGACCATTTAGTTTTTAAATTTTAATTTATTTATGATGAAACACAATTTAATCGGTTATGTGTAGTTTAAAATACGAAGATTAATGATGGTGTCAATTATATTGAAAAGCGACTAATAGTATTAAACGCGATTACAGGCTATAGTAGTAAATGATGAAAAAATTAAAATACTCTTAAATCAAGATTGCTTTGACATGTGTTGCGTTGATAAAGATTTAAATGGCATTATAGAGAATAATTATAATACAAATGTTTACTTAATTATAGCAAACTCCCAGGTTCAATTGCAGTATATTGTTTATTCAAATTTATCTAAAGCACCATTTTGTATTTTTAAACAACACCAATGCAATAGAACTCTGTAGTAAACATATATATATATATATATATATATGGTATTAGGCTGTATAATACAAATATATAATATATTTCCTTGTCCGAAATCTATATTTATAATTTAAATACATTTTCTAGTACCGTGGTATTAAATACTTTTAAAAACTGTAAATTAATGATAAATAAGTATCATAATGTTTTGTTAAATTGGTTCTGATAAAAATTGTGCAAGAAAAAAAAACAAAATCGTACAACTTAGTGTTAAATTGGAAATTCTTTCGGTTCTAGTTAGAACTCAAATGCAAATGCACACCATGTAATAGTTTATGAATCCGCTGCAAACGTGAACATTCATTAATGTTGTATTTCTATGGCCACTGAATAAATAATATTAGAAAACTCCGAAATTATTGATCTCCGTCGATATTCAACAGGTTAAACGAAAAAATTATTTTTTATTTTTATCACTATTCAATATGTTAGTGTAGGTTTAAAAAATTAAAATCTTTCCAAAATGTAGTATTAAACTTGGTTGTTTATTATATTTTTTTTTTATAATTTTGTAAATAAAAGGATTAAATTATTATAAAACTTCAATATCGTTCAAAGACAGTATATAAGAGGTAAATGATGAGTTTAGAAGGCGCAAGATCCCTTGGAGCGAAAGTGAATGAAAAAGAAGATATGGGTGAAATTCAATTTTGTCGTTTATAGGAGCTGTTTGTTCAGCTTAATATTGAACATGCCGCCGCCTATGGGTATAATAACTTGTAAGCCAATAAAATAGAGGCAAGGCAAATCCAATCCCATGCACAAATCTCAAGCCGTTTTTCCTTTTTGAACATGATTAATGTTGCTTGCTCACATTTTTTCACGGCGGCATATTGAATTCTGTAAAACACACAGAGCCCAGCGAATATTAATATTTCATTCGGTTGAACGTTTTATTACATGACCTCTGCTAAACCCTTTTACAGATTACGCAGAAAACGCGTATAATATGTGCATATATACACACAAAAGCCTTTTGACATATCCGTCACATTTTTAACCATAACAGCTAATAACAAACCAGAAATAAATGTTCGGTGTACTGCTTTTGCGCAGTTTTTTACGCTATATTGTATTATCTATTCAATTTTCACGTGGCAAATATGAAATGATTAAAAACATTTCAATGTCATCGGTAATATTGTTTTATGTGTGATAAATCACCATTGAATGTCAAGTCGAGTCTGACAAAATATAAAGGCGTGTTGGGCATTGAATAAAAAATATACAAAGAAAATAACAGTAGCTGAAATGTGGATTTTTACATTGAATTAGGGATGAGTGTGAAAGAGGAAGTTTAGGAGTTGCCGACAAATGAAAAAGAGTAGTTTAAGATGGTCATGACTAAATAAACAGCCATAAATGCTAGATTACGAACTTTTCCTATCTTTTTACATTTGCACGCGTTTTGCCATGAAAGATAAAATGCCCTGTTTCCATTAAAAAAAAAAAATACATGTTTGTGGCTGTAAGTCGGCCATTTTCAAATTTAGACTATTTTCTATTTTTTTTAAATGCCCTATTTGAACTATAAAAGTCTCTAAGAAACAACTTTTTGATTGGATTAGTATTTGTCTAGGACAATGTATTAATAATTTAAAATGGCTCGCCAGGTATTATACAGGGTGTTCCAGCATGAAAGGTAAGTAATAGGTGATTGGACATCTGGGAGACCCCCAAATAAGCCCCCCGTTTTCATTTTTTCGATAAGTAAAAAATTGAAGATTTTGACAGTTAAGTAAAAAAATAATAACTTAAAAAAAAAAAAATTATGCCCTGTTATTCAGTGCAAAAAGCTCACCTTAAAGATGGGTTAACCTTAGGGGTTGAAAAAGACTGAAAATGATGTGACCCCTCTTTTAAGGTGAGTTTTGCACCGAATAACACGGAATTATTTTTTATTTTTTTAGATCATTATTTTTTTACTTATTTGTCGAAACCTTCAATTTTTGACTTATCGAAAGCATGAAAACGGGGGGCTTATTTGGGGGTCCCCCAGATGTCTAATCACCTATTACTTACTTTTTATGCTGGAACACCCTGTATTATCTATACACAATAATATTTATTTTCATATTATATAAATGATTTGTAAAAGTGTACTTAAAATTCGACAAGTTTATTGACATTAAGTTAATTTAATTACAAATTAAATGAATAATGTAATGTTAAATATTTTTAAGTACAATTTTTCTACTTTTTAAATAAATATATATTTGTTTTGGTTGGTTATTAATCATTTAGTAATTTTTTTGTTTTCACTTGTGCAAATCATTTATTTATTAAATATTTTTTGAAAAAAATAATTTCGTATAAATTAGAGAATTGCCGTTTTTTACTTACAGATAAAACAATAACAGTTTAAATTATAATTTATATTACATATCCATAAAATAAATGTAACTTTTGTATTCAATTTATATAAAATATATTAAACGAAATGTACTTTATACATCATTTGACTATGCCTCGCAATGTTTTTCATTCCAGTTTTAATGGTAATGAAAATATTCAGTTTATTACAATTTATAATATCAACTGTCGTAGCTAAGTTGCAACATAAAATGTAAAATCTGTTTAAAAGTATAAAATAAATTACAGTTTTAGCTTTGAAAAACAAATTTTGATAAAAGTAGAAAATACGGAGATGGTTTTATGGTCGAGTAATAATTTACCAGAGCTTGACTTATCATAATTGATAATCTTATTTATTATCATCGATGAAGTTTTTTTCGGTTAAGACTCGTAGTTAAGATATATAACCATAGTTGATTCGTTTTGTGTAAATATCTGCCTGTAGACTGTAAAGGTACTTCATAAGAAAGATCAAACATTTTTCAATAACAGCTTTTGCCAAATAACAAAAGGTAACCTACCAAAGCCTTCCATATAATTCGCAACATGTTTAGCTTATTTTTTTAAACCTTAATTTCGTTAAAAAGATTCTCTAGCATAATTTTCCATTCTAATAACTATTTAATTATTCACTTTTTTTTTTATTAGGTACTATGTCTTTTAAATTCAACAGGGTGTTTTTGAAATTAAATCTACTTTCACATTTCTTTAAGGTAAACCGTTTAAGAAGTTCGAGTCACTTAAGATATTATCGCAAAATGATTGATCCTACCCTCTGTGACAACGTCATTATCGGAGGCGATAAACTTTGAATTTTAACTATCCGCAAGTGCTTGACAGAGTATAATAAGTAGAGGATGCATAAATTGTTATTGTAAAATTATCGTAAGCCATATAATGTTAAAGTGTCTAAATAAATATGCACCGATTGTTAGCAGAAAAAAAAACTTTAATACTAATTTTGTATTCAAAACGTATTCCGTTTGTATTTGATGAGTTAATAAAAAACAAGTCGATGGGTATAAGATATCGGCATGGGTTTGGCCAAACTATATAGATATCCCGGTTGAATTTCCGCCTGGCGCCTATGCTTTCCAAACTACTTTTTGTGTTCAACTAATAATATTTAATTTACTGAAAGTGCGGAAACAGTATTCATTCCCACTGATTGAAAGCACGTATCGTGGAGATTACCGTTCTTGGAAAAGGCGGTTTTATTAGTCTGAAAAGTGTATCCGGTACCGCCTTATCATAAAGTAAAATGTCATTTAAAAAAGAAAACCCTTACGTTTCCGGTGTAGGTGCACTGTCGACAAAGTCGTCGTCACACCACACACACACACACACATTTTATACATATATAATATGTGTATTATTATTTCGCGACTGCTTGGACGAAATCGAATTCTACATAAAACCGGAACTGGAAAAAACTTAATTTAATAATAAACTCTCTGTAAAGAAAAGAAGCTTAAAGAAATTGCTTTCCAGAACAGTTTTTTTTTGCCAATTTTTACTTTTACCACTAAAGCGTGAGGTGAATTGGAATTTTTTTTCCCTTTCACAGCTAATATTCCCGTCACGTGTTCATCAGGGATCCGATTTCGCCCACCCTACCCCACCACTCTCACGTGATCCTTGTTTCGAATTCGACACCGACCTTTTGTCATTAATACCATGTGCACATTAGCATGCTATTTATACGGATAGGGAATAGATCGGGTTATTTAACGTTTTCACCTCTTTCCCAACCCCCCACAGACCACACCTTTATCGTTACGAGTTTTTTTTTATTTTACCAATTAATTTTTTACATTTTTTACCGACATGACCCAAAAGGCAATTCGTTACAAAATACCGGGTGATGTTTTTTACGCCCCACACCAGTTTGCTCTTAAAATTATTGCAATTTTATAGTTATATATATTGAATTGAATGTTTAAATTAAGAATAATACGCTGACAACTTTTATTGGTCGATAACTAGTTTTGAACTAAATTTTTTTTAATTTAGGACAGGAGGTGGAGTGCAGTTAAGTAGCACGCACAGATAAAAATAATTCTACTCTATAGCCTTCTCACGTCTTAAATTTTAAACTTTTATCATTTTAAAACTATTTATTCAAACCTGATTACCGACCAGTTAAAATTTTCAGCAAATTATTCTCAATTTAAAATTTTATCATTTTAGTTTAAAAAATGTATAGCGTTTTAGAAAATTCTAAAAAAGGTAAACATTTGAATTATTCCTATTAATGTAATATAACATAAACAAACATTTTTTCAAAAAGAATAATTAAAAAATGTTAATTATTTTAATAGTTAACTAGTGTAGGACGTTAAACGAATAGCCCGTGATAATAAAGTATTTGGTTAGACGGTACAAATAAAATAACCGAGTGGTATAGCCTGTAAGTAAAACTTGTTTAATTCAATCAGCATTCAACGTCCGGGGAATTGCATTATAATTAAAGCTTTTAGATGTGGTCTATCCCACATAGAAAATGTAATATGCTTAAAAAAAACTTAAATATTTTTCTATTGGACAGTTATAAATTAAAGGGCACATGGGAAAAACGGTAGTTGTCACATTATGAAAATTTTAGAGTATAGCAAAAACAAAGTTCGTGAATTCCTCTACCTCTTACATAAGAACAAAAAAAAAATCACATTAAATGCTACTCTAATAATAAATGTATTTATTTAAACAATCTATTGACATTAATAAAAAAAAAATATTAGCATAAATTGAAAAAAACTTATTGAAAAAAAAAATTGTTCATAATGTGACTACTACCGTTTTTCCCCTGTGCCCTTCAATTATAATAAGTATTTTATTTTAGTTGTCGCATATATTTAATATTGTTTTATCGTTTTTACATTTTTTATTGGCATAAGAATTTAAATATTAATAACTAGAATGTTTTAATTATATTTTCTAAGATTTTACCTAACCAAAGATATTACGCCAGACAACACGAATTTTGAGTCTTAGTTAAGCAAGCAAATTTTTCTATTTTCTATTAGACAAATTCACTAAATAATAACTATTCAGTAGTTCCAAAAAAACGCCAATTCACCATAAGTTAATTAAACAAGAATATTAGTAATCAAATTGAAAAGTTTAAATTAACTTAAAGTGTAGTTACCAGGATTATGACGTTAAGGAGCCTCGCGACTGTGATAATATTGGGCGTAAATAGACCCTTGGCATGTTCATCAAACAAGTTCCCATATTAACCGATTTCAATTCAGAAAATTTTTTTGAATTCATCTCTTCTGTGATTTGACTTATCAGCTTTAAGCTGTTATGGTTTTCCAATATTTTAAAATAGCTTAAAGAAACCTTCCACAAAAATTATTTTACAAAGAAAACAAATAATAAGAAAAGGTAGTCGATGCGTCAAATCACAAAAGAAATTATGAGAAATTCAAAACTTTTTTCTGAATTGAAACCTGATAAAATGGGCTTATGGATTGTTGGAAATAGAAAGAAATGTTTTTTATGCGCATGCAATATGTATGCGTTCAAAAAAAATTTAAATAAAAACAAATTCCTCTTTCCTAATTATATATAGCATAATAATATACAGCTTTAGCTGGAGTTTTAATGAAAAGTGGCTTATACAATACGCCCTAATAAATACACTTTTATCATAGCCGAGAGGCCCCTTAATGCCCAGTCTTACTTTTATAGGTCTTTTGTAATCAATATATTGTTTTTTGGTAATTTAGTCAAAAATTTTAATCTAATGCGCCTTTTACTAGCTCTTGCCTAACCAGTTAACCTAAACTTTTTTACATATGGGTGGGGGGAGGTAGTGATAAATATTTAAAGTTAAAATGTAGCTTACTCACCATGAATGAATTATAAAGGAAATATTTTGTACGTATCATATAAAAAAAAGTTTGGTTAATCAGATGGTAAGTTTTCGATATTTCTGAACATGTACAATCAAAATATAATGACCAGAATCATCCCAAAACTTAAAATTTATTGAGCCGTATTATAGTTAAAATAATTTCTATAAAATCTCAACAAACATTTAGAAAAAATGAATATTTTTAATTTATGTGTGGGGCTGAAAATAATGCGCACACAACATAATGGCATAGTTTATAGTTTATTATGATGCGACACGTTTACATGTCCTTGGCCAATTATTTATAATTAATAAACGACTTTAGTTGTTCTATACTCGGGAATTATTCCCAAGTGAGAAATACATAAATTTATAAAACGTGGCTACAATTACTTTGGTTAACGCTTGAACGGTGTCATTCGAACCGCGGAAACTTGATCTACTCTGATGTAATACAAGATGATCTAAATCTTAACCCTGATGTTCGATTCCATAAATATTTATACATATAATTAAACGTCTGAATTATGTAAAACCCGAGACATGGTTTACTTATATACATTTTTTATTTATTCCTAATGGAGACTCATGGACAGAAGGCTAAGTTGACTTATTTTAATGACATGGTATTAATAATATGATGTTGGATTAATTTAAAAATATATTTTTTAAATACACTTTTTATTATACCTTATGAAAAAATCGATCTATTACTCTGTAATTGGTTAGATTGTGTAATCATTTTCCCAAATGTTTCCTGAGCTCCTATAAGAGATAGAAAGTTGATTCTAAGCACATTAGAAAGAGCTTATCAAAAAGATACAGAATATGAATTAAAATTATAAAAGTATTTTACAATTAAAAAATTGTCAATTTTTTTAATAATCTCTAAAAATTAAAAATCAGAAAGCCTACATACCAACTCCGCCTTGGCAAGCACTTTTTATATTGGTTATCTTACACACACAATATATAGGCAGCGTCTGCAATAATATTATTGTTTTTACTATGGCTTACATAATCGACACTTTTACTACACTTATTATTACACTTAATTTATTATTGTCACAATAATAAATAATAAAATAATATTTTAAACATAACGAGGGAAGTATTGAAATTTCAAACTTAAAAAAGTTATGATATTAGGTTTTTTTTTGTTCAAATGTTTACGATTAGTAATTTATAATATTTATTTATACCTTAGCGGTTGTAGGATGGATGGTCTGGAGATGGGCGATGGAGTACATGTATAGAGGATATGAAACGCTCACCGATATTGTCTCCGGCACAGTTTTTTATTTTTAAATATTTTTTATTTATTTACTTTGTTGAGAGTCAAACGACAAGCCGTCTCTTTCATAACAAAATAATCGCAAAAATATTATATAAAAACGCTTTGAAAATAATACCTCTATACTTATACTTATGTATTACCTTATTTTTTTAATTCAAGTGGTGTTACCCGGAATTTGGCCTGTCGAAGAAGCGGAGGATCCTCTTATATTTTTCCCCGACGACAATAGCGTCAAGTCCAACGGCGGCATCGAAATACAAAGAGATGAAGTGAAGTCACCCGACCATAAAGATGAGAGAAACACACCTGTCGGCGGCGGTAAGCTTTCTTTTTAAATATATAAATTTATTTTTTATTCAAAGTATATAATGAAATATATAACACTGAGACGAGGGCGGGCGTGGCAAAACGGTATACTCACAGAAGCGTTGAATTTGTTTTGTTTATTTCTAAAGTTCTAAATTAACAACTTTTATTATTGTTTTATATTTTATTTCACAATTTATTGACAGGCTATTCGGGTACTATAGGTCCGGTGAAACTCGTCGCTTAAGCTCGTTAATATGTCCGCCAGACAGTCAGAGCGTAATATGATACGGGCGAGTGAGCCATTAATCGTATTGAATTATTCAGGGACATTAAGTAGAGAGGGATTTCCAAAGCAGACAATGGTCAGTAACGATTAATATGTGACACAGTGGCCAGTGCTTGGCAATATAAACGGCATCCGACCGGGCCAAAACTGCTAATGAAGTCGTATTTTTATCTGCCTCCGAACATTTGTTCGAGACAGTCGACAGATCAAAGGATTTGTCACCGTTGCTTGAGTTTGGTTTAATATAATATATTAGTATATATAATTTAATATATAACCAGACACGACGTGAAACGCACGTGCACAGGAGGAAAAGGCATCCAAAGGGATTTGCTGGGAATGAAAATATGACCCTGACAAATATAGAACATTATATATTTCTTTTTTTTATCGATTTTGTTTTTTTTATAGAAAGAAACCTTCGAATATAAAACTAAAAAGATAGATATAAACATAAATTAATACCAGCGGCAACGAAGAGTATAAAATAATATTGCAAAGGCGTTCACATCAGTATGATCAAACAAATTCTCTAGAAAATGTGTAAAAATATAATGCATCTTGTCAATGTCCTGACAAATGTAACGAAACTGAGAAAATTGCCGGCAAATTTTTTAAATAATAATTTGTTCCATGCATAGGTAAAAATAGGGTTGGACAAATTTGTAATGACAATCAATAGACAAATTTAATAAATGCATTGACATCATATTTACAGTTTTTGTTATGTTGACTATGTCATGGAAATATTATTTAGTAGGTACGTATGTTTAATTATTATAAGAATAAAATAAAAACACGTCTAGAATAACGTCAAATATAAACAGTTCTACCTGCTATCGTGCTCAAGCTTTATCTGTATAAATTTAAAAAAATAAAAAAGTAAATGTTAATAAAATTTTCCTGGTATGTAAAATAACAGATAAAAATAACATCTATAGTATGAATGGTATTACATTTCATAAAAAACTAAAAACGATATGAGCACATATTGTATAATAAAGCAATGTTGCATTTATTCTTAGATCCATTTCACAATTTGTGCTTGTTAAAATATATTGCCAGTAAATAAAAGTATAGTCTGTATGTAAATCATTTTATATGTAACGTATTTTCAATATTACCTACATTTTAATTAGAAACAAAATTATATTACATGTTTGCATTTAGTTTTTACATATATCGTTAAATACAGAAAAGGTACATGTCCAAATTTTTAAATTTTCACAGAAGAGACAAAAAACTTAATAAGGGTCTTGATCCGTCTTTATTTCTAAATAAATTACCAAATTCTAAAACTACTATATCGTTTAAAATGTATAAAAAAGCGATGAAAAAACATGTTTTTTCATCAAATTGTATAAGAATTGGCAAAAAAACGAATAATTAAAAAAAAAAAGGCTGACCCAGTTAATTTGTTTTGGACATAAGCCTTTTAAATTCCATATTATCTGGGTGAATACTATGTATATTCTGGTCGAAAATTTTGAGCTTACTGTTTTTTTGCCAACTAAATTGTAAACTATTTAAAATTATCAGTTAAAAAATTATATTGCGGTTAATTTAAAAAAAAAAGGAATGTTAGTAGCTTCTCGTTTTATAACAATGTCTATATACATACAACAAAAGTCGAGTGTTTACATCTTAATATGTGTCAAATATGTCTAGTTGCAATTTACATATTTTATGTTATTATTATCTATACCAAAAAAGAAAAAAAATAGGTCAGCCTTTATATTATTTTGTAATCATTAATTTCAGCATTTTTTTTATTTATAAAATCATTTACCAATACTTCGAAAGAAAAAACTAAAACTCATACATTATATTATAAAACCGTAGAGTAATTATATCTCCTCATCAATAATTAATATTCTAATAATTTATAGATTAATTATTTTGAAGTATAGGAACTTTTGCTATATGCTGATTTAGATGTTTTTGTTTTTAGAATCCATAAAACGGTTGATTCTGCTTATAAATCTGTTATTATAGTCTTACCAAATATTCATAGTTGAATGTTTGAATTCATGTCTGAATATATCTCTCAACTTCTATCAAAGAAAATGAATATTAAAAAACTTAAATCCTCAATTTTTTTTTTTTTGTTAAAATAAAACAGTTTTGATTGTGCTGCGTCCGTCGTTGTTATTATAAATATATAAAAAAAATGTTATACCTTTTTAAGCCGCATTTGTAAATCTCAAATGTCACGAAAGTTTTTAAGTGGGTTAAATTAAGTTTAATTGAAGAAAAACTTTAATTAAAAGTTCATTTCACAAGCTTTAAGGATTTAATTAACTAAAATACGTTAAAACAGTTTCGCAAGTTGAAGTAGTTATTAATTGTAAGTGTAATATCATTCTCCCCGCGAAAAAAATGATCGAGTAATAAATTGTAATTTAGTAAAGTACTAAGTTTAAATAATTATCGAAATAAAGAACGATAGTTTTTATATAAGTTGGTTTTATTATTTATTTATAGTTTTTTATCGTACCAAAATTTGGATGATATCATCAGGTAGATTATATTATAATATTATTTCAGATTAAATTAGTAATTTTTCTCAAACATATTTATTATACAATCAATTATTGATAATTTTTATTTATTACCAATTATCTATAAATTGAATAATTGCAATTTGTATAATATTTTTTAAATGCTTTCAAATGACTAAGAGAACATTTTAAACAAATTAAAGCATTTCCTTAACGTTAGTTTTTCATTTAATAGTATTTCTAATAAAACCCATAAAAAAATGGTACATAGACCATAGTAATGGAAATATTCTCATACTGTCTAAACCATAATTTTAAAATATTAAATCTCTTGCCAAAAACTTAATTTTTAGGTTAAAACCTAATTTGAAAACATTTTGAAACATATTTTAGCGTGTGTAATAAATATTTTATAGATATTAAATTTGAATACAATGCCGTACAATTTTTGAATAACTAATGAATAATGTAGTCAGAGTTGTGGATCATTAGAATAAAACGTTATCTAAATAATCATCTAGATAACGCATAATTCAAATAAAAGTTATTCGAAAACATTAATCAAATATCCATATTTCTAAATTGTTTTGATTGGATGATAATAAAAATACTTGTATGTAAAAATAATAAGTACATAATCATTCGAGTTAGTGGAAAATTATTATAAAGATATAGTTACAGTTATAAAAAAAAAGTATAAATAGACATTGTAGATTAGGATGCAAGTCACACGTGTATGGGATTAAGCAAAAAAAAAAAGACAACTAATAGGTGTCTATATATATATATATATATATTTCTCAGACTCAAATAAAATTAATCTTTTTAATTGATTAACATTACCTAAAAATAAGCAAGCTGATGGTTTAAAATGTCGTTAGGAACTCAGAGCTTATATGGCTAGTCACGTCCAAACACCATAATAAAATTTAAAAGTTTCTTTCCAAAGATAAGAGTCGAACATTTATTTCAGTGGATTTACGATCTATTTCGTTCCAAATCGTTTTACTATGTTTTATTAAGAAGGAAAACTTATTAAGTTATTAATGAGAAATGATTTTGTGCAAAAGTCTGCCTGTTATGGTGTGGCGTATTATCTTATAGAATACTAGCTAATATGGTAAATACCAATGTGTTTGAGTTGGTACACGTAACGATGAATATTAAATTAAAATTTAAGTATTCGATTTAAATTTTGACAACATTACAAAACGCGTAATTTATTCACGTTTTACATATAAAAAGTAATGACGCGTAAAATCATTAAAAATAAAGTGTTATTTTATATTATATTGTCGAACCCCGCGTTGCCCTGGATTTAGTTTGCTAGGGCTGAGTAAAAACATTCCCATTCCCACCCCCATCCCTCATCTCTAATCTCTTATCAGATAACAGCGTGACAGCGTTTTTATGACACTTTTTCGGTTATTTTGTCCTCCTCTTACTCAGTCCCAGATCCCGTTCCAACAGTTAAAAGCTTGCTCAGAATCGTGGTACAAAGAATCGGCCTGTTCCTTTAATCATCACCTTCCATTCGTTCGAGTACCACGGTTACCATGGTTACAAACCAAGTGTTTATTTCGGGTTAGCAACGGAAAATATTTCGTATTTAAAGAATATGTTAGTGTTTGAGGTCATCCTTAGGGGTGGAATTTTCGAAATGTACTATGCCGGTTAGGTCAGCGGGAGTGTACTCAACAACACTCATGGCGATCGGATGAATGGTATACTGATGCATAAAGGACAGACAGACAGACATTCAATTTTATATACATAGAATATTTATTGGAACTTTTTAAATAATTTACATATTATAATTAGCGTCCTTATTTCTAGCACAACAAATTCCATTTATAAGCATATGCACTTTAATTGAATTTTTTTTATAAAAAATGTTGTGGTTAAAAAAAACAGTACACTAATAAAAGGTTCATGTCCATAAATTCATAATGTAGTAGATGTATACTATTTTAAAAATAGACAGTGTTTAATATATATTATAGTTGGGTGCAATCATGTTATAGCGATGGTTCTCGGTACCATTGTACAATAAAAAAAGGACATGCACCAGTTGTAAATATTTAATTTAATATTTACCTGGTCGATATGATTATTGTCATAATAATAATTATTACTATTTTACCAACATAAATTATTTGTGAAATTCTATCTTTTAAACTATTTTGAAAATTATTATCTATACATAAAAACATGCACACAACGACTACTTAGTAGTTTTTTTTCTGCTAATTACGAATGCGGTGGTATTTATCATTTTGTTTTCTATATTACATGCAAACTATTATTCCTTGTTTTACAAATTTTGTTTTAATTTTAAAACACCTTCGCTGTATCTACAAGTTTTGACAATATATTCTTTGTTTGCTAAGGTGATTGAACTAATGAATTATTCATTATATTATATCGGAATGAAAAAAAACGTTTTATTAACAAATGTCAATCATTATAATTAAAAATTCAACCATATTCGGGGCTTTAACCTGTTTTACAATAGCTATTTTTAACATATTCTTCGAATTGTACGAATTTATTGGATGTAATATACTGCCACTTCCATGCTTATATTTGTAACATCCACTCGCTTATTCTTCGCCTTATGTTATAGTCCACCTTTGCTAGTATTTTTTGCCTATATTACTTTTCCATTTTGCACGTTTTGTTTAAATCATCTCAATCTATTGTTTCTCAGTTTTCTGCTCTTGAAGCTACTTTAATTAACTTCTTCTTAAAAAATATTCCTTGTCTAAGCCATTCCTCCTGCCATAAACATCTGATTTTCTATATACTTTGTCTATTTCCCTCTTTTGTTCAATGTCCAACACTGACTTTCATAAATATTTGTACATACACTACAGTTTGTTTGTTTAAAACTAATATTATTTATTTTGTAAAACTTCGCCTCTCCTCGTCCTATAATCCCGCTATATACTTACTATAGTATAAAAAATAAACAAATGAGCTGAAAGCTATTTTTGTTGGAAACTTTTAACTTAAAGGGTCTCTACACTAGCATTTATGAAGTCGCATTATATAGGCAAATGTTCACTAATATTTAAGATCAAGTTAAATTTGTAAACATACGTAACACAAGAAAAAGGGATCTATTATTATATTTAATTTTTTTTCAACTTTTATAATGTATACAGCCTCTTTTTTCGTAGGCCGCCAGACGTTCATAATTTCTAAAACTGTCATATTTTGTTTGATGTTAGCGCAAAGTTTTAAAATGTTGGATACATATAACAAAAATATATTATAAACCGTATGACATCGATTTTGTTTAAATAGCTTCAATTTTATGTGTTACTTAAAATTCCACTTTATTTCAGTTTTTAATGACTTTAGTAATAACTGATATATTAAAGTATCCAAAAAAAAATGAATGATCCTTGTCGTATAATATTGTTTTTACACGCTAGTATAACATGTTAAGACTCTATGACCATTGCAGGCAAAATAGGACAGTTTATACTGATAAATAATTACGAAGAACATTTTTGAAAAACGTTGAGAACAGACGTTACATCATGTGACCAACTGTTCCTTCTCATTGGCTCGGTATATAAAAAAAATATACTCTAATAAAAAAAATAATAATAACCCTAAAAAAATCCACATTATTACAATATGTGAGGCGGAAAGGGAAAAGGGAACTTTGGTCGCAAAAATTAAATTTGTAGTAATTGGTCATTCCAAATCCTGCACTAAATTCTAAACATTTTGACACCAGAATCGTTCTCCTATCTTGAAAATTGGCCGAGTTATATTTGTTTGAATTTATTATCCGAAAATGTGTGTTTTGAATAAAAAAAAAACGCTTTAGTTTTGAAATGCTGCCAACTTTTTTCTTTACATACTTTTGGAATGAAACTATTTAATTTAACCAACTATTAAAACAAAGTGCCCCTAAGAAGATAACATCATTTTTTTTTTTTAATATGTTTTCGACCCTGGTCGATGTTTTGGTCTCTTTTGCGATTAGGATTCACGCGACAAGAGGTCCCTTTTCCCTTTCCGTCTCGCGTATTAAGTTAAGATTTTGAAACCCTTTGCTTGCATCGAACCCTGATAAATAGAAAAAAATTGGCAGATGGGGCGTCCACTTGAGACAGTATAGTTGTGAAATGAACGCGCGACCCCGTTACTTTCTTTATCGTTATCTTGAAAAAGTATCTTGGCCCAAGTTAGGTCGTTATCTTTCCATACCGTGTGATTTTACTATAAACGATCGTTGTTTTGATGGCAAATTCGCAGGTTCGCGGCAGTCGAAAAACGGCGAGACCTTTAACATGGACAGCAGTGTTGGCGGCATCAGCGACGGGGTAAGCAGCAGCAACAACGGCGGAGGCGGCGGCGGTCGACGTCTGATCGGCTTGTTGGTGGGCGCCCTGACCGCGGCTACCATGTTGGCCGGTGCTGCGGTGGCGTTCGTGATGGTCCGCAGACGGCGGTTGCTATTGGACACAGTGGCCAGACGCCGGAGTTCGTCGTTCCAGGACTGTGCGGCCGACAAACCGCACCTGCCGCCACCCATTCACCTGACGGTAAGGACCCAACTGCCAACGCAGCTTGCCCAATGCACATGTGTAGACTATGCAACACACTTGTATAATACATAACGAACAAGCGCAAGAACACAAATGCCAACACGACGTGGTACAGGAATGCGAGTAATTAATTAGGATGTACAACGTATTGGTGGCCGGTCGTTCCCGAATCCCGAGAGACCGCCCAGCCTGGAGGTAATAGCGATTGTCGCTGGCAGACGGGGCAGCATTCGTTATATGTCTGGAGTATCCGTTACAACCGATATCATCATTATTCCTCTGATCTGGTCTCATAATGTGTAGCATTTAGTTAAATTCGATACCATACGAATACATATTAATCGTTTATGTTGTGGAGCTTGGTCGTAACACTGTGTCGTGTACGCACATTCATGTACACGTACCGTATGAGATACACATACAATTTTGGGGTTCATCTCGACCAGCGGACATTGGTGGAGATCAGGACCCCCCTTGGGATTTTAAAAACCTAAAACTTAAAATTGGTGCTCGTCAAAATACATAAATTTATTTTTTAGTAGAAATTTGTTGAAATCAGAAATCAAATTAAATGTAGCACTAATTTCAGGTTTGAAGTTTTTTTTAAGTTTTATAGAATTCCAAGTCGCCCCCTCCCCTGATCTCTGCCAACGCCAATTATTTTTTATTTACCTTTGGAAGAAATGTAGTTATTTAAATTTATTTTTTGTGCGTATTTTTTAAACATATTATAATATAATTAGTAACTCTTCGATAACCTTAAATATTATTTCCATTCTCTTAAGGTTTTAATTATATATTCTAACCTTAAAGTTTAAACATTTACTTTTCGCTATGGCCAACTATTATGCTCAAAACCTATAAGACACCATAACATGAAGAACAACAAAAATGCATAGTTTAATTTTAATTGCGAACAGGCGATGTAGATTGTAGTCAGTTTCAAGAAAAAAAATTCAAAAACAAACTTTTGAACTCGCAAAAGTTCCAAACTCAATTATAAACTAGTAAACTTTCAATGAGGCTTTTCAAATAAGAAGTTGCGGCCTAAAAAAAAGATAAATAATGTAATTATAAATGTGCCTACTAATAGTTTTTTTTTAATTTATAAAATGGATGAATTCTTTTTCAAGATAAAATCAGTTTTTTTATGAGATATATTTATAAATTAACGTTTATTATTTGGATTACAATCGTCCAATAGACTTACTGTGCCTCGGGGCATTTGCTTTACTTTGTAATTTTGAAATCTAAGAATTATTTTTGTGTTGAATATTTGCTTAATATGTTAATACTATATAAATAGGCATAAACTGGAATATTAATTATTTTCCATTGATATTCTGGCAAAATTCATAATATGATAAATATGATTTCCATTTTTTTTTTATTTCAATGTTAAATCATTTTTTTATACAATACAAATAAACTTATATGTATTGGTTTATTCAAACTAGCAACACGAGGGTTATAACTTGCAAAACTTTTTACAAAATCACGTTTAGTATTTTTATTTTGTTAAAGTCAGTTGGCAAACGCATAAAGCTTATGAACACACCGAATCGAGAATCTCGAAAACTATTACCATAATGTCTCTGTAATTTTACAACTACCGAAAACTTTTTGGAAAGGTAGGTCAAACGATAATATAGCCCCCAAGATTGATTTAGGCAAGTTCGATTTTTTGCTATCGCAAACTTTGATATTTTCAAATTAAGTTTTTTTTTACTAAACAATAATTTAACTAATAAATTCAGGCAAACGCAATCCAATAAAATTGTGAACATTGTAATATTAAAAAAGCTGTAAAATATATTTAATACTTATATTATATGAAATTTGCTGCACTTCATCGAGTGAACGATTTAGATGACTCGGGAATGGGATTGAGTTCAGCTGCCACGTTGCAAAGATGATTCATGAAAATATCCAATACGATCATAACTCGACTAAATTTCATAGAGCAAATTCTATATTGATGTTGTGATTAGCTGAACTCAATAACGTACCGGTCTGTAAAAAGAATGTAACACGATGAAAAACAAAATGTAATATTGCAATAATTTTAATAATCTTCTTTGATAAAGTAGACAACATTAATTTAAAACCTAATCACGTCCATTAAAATAAATCAAACCAATTAAATTCTGACAATATAAAATGATGGATAACTTTAGCAGTTTTTGTATTAATTATTGTCATGTAGGCCGACAGTATAATTAATATAGGTGGTTCTAATCCATACATGTCCCGTCCACGTCCTGCAGTTTAATAGGTATACACAGACCCGAGCCTACTAATCTAGGTCAGCATACTGCATTCGTCCCAAAATGTGTGTACTTTAGGAAAGCTACAGCGTTGAGCACAATCCGGATTTTAGAATTTTAATTATTCCACATTCTAAATTTTTTTTAAATTTATTATATATAAATTTTATTATTATTTTACATAATTTATACATAATAATTTTATTGAAAATCTAGAATTATTTTTAACCTAAGCATTTTATTTTGAAGCACTTAGCTTTTTTAAGCTGTAAACCATATAGATATGTAAAATAATATGTATATAAATAATATACTAGAAGAAAAAATTACACCAAGATCTTTAATTTTATTAACTGATACAAGTGAGGTGAAATTAAGATTTTAAGGAAAGTTTATGATAAAACGGAATCTATAAAAGGAGATGGTAGTTCATTTAGCTCAATCATTATTTAAACACGGCTTAGTAAAATTATCAAAATTATTTTGTAATGTCAGAGGTATTCTTTATAGGTTTGAGTAATTTTAAATCATCCGCAAAGAGTACGAATTAACAAGACAGATTATAAAACATATTATAAAATCACGTTTAGGTTTATTATTTTGTTAGCTGGCCATGCATAAATTGTATGAATACACCGAATCTCGAAAACTATTCACTTAAAAACTTTTAAATTTTACTTCTTTCCTACAAGTTTTTAGAATAGATGGTCGAACGATTGTGTAACCCACAAGATTTATGCAAGTTCGATATTTCCCCCTCGCAAACGAATTTTTTTTATTGATATTACTGAACAAAATAACAATAATTACACAAATAATATTAAAATTTGTTGCCTATAGATATAATATATTGAAAATAATTTTCTTATATAGGGATTTCGGAATTGTTTCAGGAACTGCCGGTTCGAGTAAACGCCAACGGACATGTGTACGGTCAGGTGGACTTGGACGACGACTCGGACAAAAGCAACAGCAATTATCATAGGCCGTACGGCGGCGGTAGTGCTCGCCGTCCGTCGGTGCTTTTAAGTCCTGATTACACAGGTAAGCTCCCGAGGGGGTTAGAAATTACGTTGTTTCGACTGTGGGTAGAGAGGGGAGAAAGGGGATAGGGACGGAATTGTTAGAGAGGGAACAATACCAGAGACTTGGCGGGGACGAGGAAGAACGGGATTAAATTTTAACGTTGTCGATGTAACGCGCCGGCCAAACTAATGTTACCCGAGAGCGAAATAAAACAGAGAAAATCCGTCGCTTTTGGACCGTTTTCAAAATCGAAAATTCTAGGCGCGATATTATTATTATATATATTTTTTTTTTCTATACACACAAACGGCATTACGGTACGGTAACGGACCGCCGCGCCGAGTGTTTCCGGACGATTTTCCATCGAATGACAACGGCCGGACAATTTTAATGTTATTGATATAGCGCGAGTGACTGCGGCCGAGGAATGCTGTCCGGCGTCCCCCGTAGACATTAAGATATGGTGACGATTATAATATAAATAATACAAATACTATATAATATACCTACGTATAGAAACGCAGAAAAATTTCATTAAACCGCGACCACGCACGTATAAAATATCTCCAAGCCAACGCCGGCTAACAGCATTCGCCCGCGTTACTCTGGCGCAACACGTAGAAACCAAATTTTATTCTGACAATTATAATAAAACATAAGTATAACATTGTTTTATGGCTTTGCGACACAAACCCCAATGAAAAGTGGCGTGCTGATGTTTAAACATGGCACGGATGTGTCCCTAATCTTATAGTAGCCAAGATATTGTAACTGTTGTATAAATATATTTGTATGTATATTCTATACATAAAACATTGTCGTCTAATTAAGTTTATCACTAATTTTAAAATCCACTATAGCATTGGGTAATAATAATTTAACATATTTCATTGATTTTTATCGTTTCAAACCCTTGTTTAAGATAACTGTTCAAATTTATCCACTTAAAACCACTCCTAACGGAAAATTACTGGTTTTTGTTGTCAAGTTTAAATCGGTTAAATAAATCAAACAAATAGCTAGACATAATTTTTCTGAAAAAACAGTCAATTAAGACTGTTAAGTATAAGAGAATTGTGTTCAAAAACATCAATAACATTACTGTCCATAAAACCTCAACATTTTCCAAATTGAGTTATAGTGCTATTTTCTGAATGTTGTTTGATTTTTAACAATTAATACCTGGTACTTGGCTGGTGAGACACGGCTAATGAAATTCCCAAGTTATTGCACTTTGCTGTAACTATTGTCTACAACTATGATTTAAGATTTCCTATTTTATAGAGAACTCTCATTTTACAAGAAATACCAAAAGTTATAACATGTTAATAAATGTATTATATTTGTATCATAAAATACTCTTTCCTTTTTTATTCTTTCTGACACATTTTGAAAATTGACAATAACCCATTACTAAAAAAAATGCTAACATTTGTTTTGTGAAGGAGAATTTTACTTGGTCTCCTTGGTTTCGCCGTTTTAACTGTCGATTCACAACAGCTGCTGTCGCTTAAGGGGTCTAACATATGTGCAAACTAATAACGTGTCCTACAATAATTAAGCTTTCAGTGCGTTCTCGGGTTCAATACAGCTTGTGCAAATGGCGGATAGGCATATGGATACACCTTAAGGGTTAACATTTCATCGTACCTGTAATTTCAAACGTTTTCTCGGTTTCGTTTCGATGGGTTTGTAATTAAATCCTTAGCCAACCCGAATTATTAATATCGATATACGCTACACGCGTAGTAGTGGTTTACCCGGGTTTCATTAGTCAAACATCTGCATTATATACAACGCCCATAACGGTACATAATATTAACTGAAACGTTAATTAAATCGTGCAAAAGCACTAATTTTAAAAGCGTGCGGATGCAAAGCGTACAAGTTTCTCATTAAGTATAAGTTTTCTACTGTAATCCGATAATAATTTTCCATTTTCGTTTAATAAATTTATTATTCTCAAAGGGACCTTAACAAACAATGTTTTTATCATAAACTACAATTTCAATTATTCAACATAAATAATTCAACATTTCGCGTTGTAAAGGATCTTATACACTATATCCTTTCATCCGTTTTAATATTATGTTTTGTCATAATTCAAGAAATTAATTATATGGGTTTGTGTTTCACGTTTCCCAAGAATGCAATTTTGTGCACTATGCAAGTTAGCAAAACGTGTTTAGCTCCAACTGAAGCAACTAACATGTTGACGAAAATTCATTTTAAACAATATATACATACCGTATATTATATATATTACTCTTAATTTGTGGTTTAATACATGTGTTATTTGTTCGATTAGACGTTCGAGATATTGTCGCCCAGGAAGAATATGCGATTCCACATGTACATCAGCCATCAAAAACCTTAACGGGGCATCGCAGTCAGCTGTCCATTCATGATGAAATGTTACCAAAACACACTATGGAAAAGTATTATGCTGCCTCAGACGTATGTCAAGTACGAATCGCTTTGTTTCATAAGAATCTTAAAATTGCATTTTTTTACTAATAATATCTTTCAACGTTGGGAAATGGAATTCTCGATAAATCTATTATTTAACGTGTTTTTACTCACTTTCCCAGGGTGACAACTCTTGTTTCTTGTAGAGCAAGAGTTGTCCAAACTAACCTAAAAAAGTAGACAAAAAAAAATGTATTTCCTTCTAGTGACCTATTTTACACAATAATTGGAATCCATTAGCATTCTCCATACAACTTAATCCGTTAACCCAACCCCCATTTGGTATATATTTGCAATCGCTCTTTTGTGATTGATATGTATGTCTAATAAGAAGTTTGATAGTGATAACAGACTGATAAGAGGAATAATATTTAATAAGGTCACGCGGTAACTTGGATTAGCTATAGCAACTACTAATAAAGCAATACATATTTTTTTTGTCAAATTATTCTACAACAGTCTTAAAGCAGCCTTCATTTTAAAAATACAAAAAAAATTTTCTTTTAATACTTACTCAAAGATATATTATAAATTATTTATTTATTCTTAATCGAAACATAAGATAAAAAACACTTATTACAATAATAATATAATAATAAGTAGAATTGAACTCAAGTATTACAAAAACATCAGCACATTTAGTTAGGACATTCAGACAACAATCTAGACGGTTTATACAAAAGTATTATGATTAGATTACTCGTGAAATAATAATAATACAATTAGCGGGCTATTTGTGTTTCTATAAGACTTAAAATATGTGGCATGCACGGGTCAATCGCCAAGTAACGTGGGCAACCATAAATAAATGTTTGTTCTTCTCTCAAAATAACGACGGACGTTTTCAATTTATTCCAAAAGTACATACTTCAATTTTCTCGTACAAAACAGGAGAGATCGGTCGAAGCGCTTTTGTTAATAAAAAATTTAAGTTATTTATTAAAAGTATTTCAATTTGAAAGATTACCAAAGCTGACAAAGAGTATTCTTAAATAAAATTAAGATAATTGTTCAAGCACTTAGACAGTATACTAATTTTGGATATAATATTGATCATTAGTTGAATTCGGACTTCGTCGATTTTTAACTTTCCATCAAATAATAGTACACTTTTAACCACAGGGCACAGACTGCCGGTAAAAGTTAAATTACGTTCATCATAAAAAGGCAGTAATATTTAAAAAAAATATACCTTCAAAATTAACTGTTTTCGCCAAATCGCAGCAATAAATGAGAGGAGATTGATAAACACGATTTTTTACGAGTTAAGTTGTTGAAAAATCAGTTTATGGAAAAAATAATTCGTAAAGTGATCGGATATTGATAATTTCTTTATTGTTTATAAGAAGACTCAAAACGTTCTTCTGACTGTACCATGGGCGTTGGTAGAAGAACACCCGTTTATCGGTTTTGCATGGCGTTGAATTTCATTTGCGACTTTAACAATTATGTCCAGAAGCATTCGACCCGAAGACGTTTTTCTCCCTCAAGTTAAATATTATATCTGCACAGCTGTCGTGACACGTTCTACTTGGGAAAACACAAACGCCACCATCGTTATCGTCGTGGAGCCACGGTAGAAAATTCCGCACTCCGCCAACCACCGAGTCCGCTAATTAATCAATTACATAATTTAAATGGCCCCACTGCGGTACACTATGTATAGTAATGTTATTATTGTTTCAGTAATTAAAATATACACTCGATGTCGGTTTGTTCGCTTCGTGTTTTTTTGGCCTTGTAATATATTTCACGGGAATTCATAAATCGCAAACAGCGATGCGATAACGCACCACGTCCAAGACAACCGCTTTAGTGCAGCACTGTTGCCCCTTAATTGGTACTGGGCAGAGGAAATTATCTTTCCGTTTTTATTTTCCCAATCTCTAACGAGTTTTTCTTTTCCCCCATAAATTCCAAAATAAGATTGTACCTCTACGGTCGGGTCTAGAATGGCCATAATCGCAACTGCCGTCAAAAGTCTGCGGCGCAATACCTTCGTAATACATTTGTGCAACGGTCATCATTACTTAGGTATAATATAGTACAGGAATCGGAATAGTCGAAACAAAGTATAATTTGTTATACTCTCCCTTATGAGTTTTAAACAACAATTAGTTTTATAACAAATGGAATATTTATTATTTTTAATAATTTCAAACAACATTGAATTTCAAGAAATACGACTTTTTTGAAGAGAAACGAGTTTTGTAATGAACGGTTTCCTCAAAACAAATTATTTGTCACAAACAAACCAGGGAACTGTTTCCTTTACAAATAAAAATCTCAGGTAATGGAAAGTATTTCTATTTTCAAGAAACACGAAATTAAATATTTTTAAATAAGGTGTATTTAAAAAAAACCTTGTTTACATGATTTTTTTATAACAACAATTGATATTTGTTTTTATTCTAATCATAAATCGTATGTAATGTGTATAATCTTTTTTTATATTACTGTATAATTATATTTCTATAAAATTGTACATAAACTAAACCTTAACTAGCAATGTGTTTATTTATAATAATTAGTAATTACACGGCGTATACTTATTTACTGAATAAATCTTCTTAAATTTTCTGCTTTTATTTCTTACTTATTCTCTCTGTAAACTTTAGATTAACGCTCCACCGCCTCCACGTTCGCCGCCGCCAACCTCTTCGAGATCGAGCAGCAGCAGAGGAGGAGGTGCCAGCAACGCATCCACCTGTCCCCTGACTAGATCCGATGACACTCTGTGCCAGTTTCCCCCGGAGTTCCCCAGGGATAACCTGAGTATCATCCAGACATTGACTAAGACTCATTTTGGCGAGGTAAGCAATGTGTGAACGGTAGACTGCATATGTATATAAGAGACGAAACGACTAGAAATCAAATTGCGTGTGATCTTTTTATTTCCAGATTCATCTCTGCGAAATCAAATCGTTCCCCGATGAATTGCTACAGATGACGTCGGTGAAATGTAAGCTGGTCACCGTCAAGTCCTTAAGGAAAGGAGTGTCAGAATCCACTAAGTGAGATAAAAATTATTACTATTTATTTTATTTCTTCTAGAATTTATTTTTAATTACGCTTAATCGAGAAACGATCGGTCTACTGTGGGAGGAGGGGGTGACAAAACTGTCAGTAAGTTATTAAATAGGTTAGGTAAACTTTTACGGCTAATAACGTTTTAAAACCAGATTACTTCGAAAGAGCTTCATCAGTTGACGTTTAATATTTAAGGTTAATAGAGATGTTGTTTTTGTAGTAAGCAAAATGTACCTACTTTGCCAAAACAAAAAAAAACATAATTTAATATAATTTTACGTCCTTTTTACTTTTTACATAGAAAAAAAATATGTTAAAAAGAAATTTTGCTACCAAGTTCTGTTCTATCCGGAAATTAATGACACGGAATGATCCGAAAAAAATTAAATGGCACTCGGGCCTGTCATATTTATTTTATATTATTGTACTCTACATATTTGTTTGTATTTTGGCAGGCATGACTTCTATGATGAGGTAGAATCTTTATGGAAAATTCGAGATCCGAACATTACAAAAGTGCTGGGATGCTGTTTGTCGGAGGAGCCGTTTTGCATAATTAATGAATTTATGCAACACGGTGACCTCAACCAGTTCTTGCAAGAACACGTTGCTGTGACGGCCGCACCACTTCCTCCCTATGCGAAGACTTTAAGGTTTGTCGAACGCCATTTAAAAAAAAAACCTATGTGTTATAATTTTATAATTTTTCACACAGTTACGGTTGTTTAATGCATATGGCCACTCAAATAGCTTCTGGTATGAAATATTTGGAAGTGATCAACTTCGTCCATCGAGATTTGTCGGCAAGGTACGGTTACCATACACCAACAAAATATAATATAACTACATACTTACTTCAAAAATAATATTTTTTGTTGACTTTAAAAATAGTTATCCAAAATTTGTAGTACATTATTCTTAATATAAAAAGTTAATGAAATGTATGCGCTATCATTTCGGTTTCAAAAGTCGCTATCAAAAAGTAGAGGGGGGTAGAAACAAAAAAATTGTGAGAAATTGAGATCACAGTGTATAAAAACATTATGGAAAAAAAATTGTATTATTAATTAAACCCAATGAGATATTGAGTGGTTCACGATAAATTGATCACCTTGTATAATTAGTGTAATTGTAATAGGTACTTTGGGGCAAATTACATTAACTACTTATGATGTACTGATACTTTGGTTAAATCTTTAAATTTCTTTAAAATCGAATGAGCGACTATTAAATACATATAAATTGAATACAACAAATAATCGTGTGAATAACATTCCAGCATTAATTGTTTTTATTGAGTTTTCAACTTGGAATAACTAGTAAAAAAAGTAACCGTTGCCGCTAAACAATACTGTACTAGGTATTATAGCACGAAAATAATTAAATACTTACTTGGTTTCACAGAAACTGTTTAGTCGGACCAAATTATACGGTGAAAGTGTCCAACATGAGTTTAAGCAAAAGCGTATACTCGGCTGATTATTTCGACTTCGAAGGCCGACTTTCGCTGCCAATCCGCTGGATGGCCTGGGAAAGCGTACTACTGGTAAACAAAAAATTGATAACCTCCCAATAACATAAGTTTTATTTACAATTATTTAAAACGTTTTCAAACAATTGTTAATTTCTTTATTTGATTGTAGAACAAACACACGCCGAGAAGCGACGTTTGGTCGTTTGCAGTCACCTTGTGGGAGATATTGACGTTTGCCAGAGAACAACCTTACGATGAGCTTAGCGACCAGCATGTCGTCGACAACATCACTAGACTCTATCAAAACGACGTGAATTTTGTAAGTATACCTACAGAGTTTTTGATTTTTGGACCCGACATATTTATTTAAACAAAACTAATATATATATATATATATATATATATATATATATGTATGTGTACTCATCTATTGATTTTGTACGGTACAAGAGCTATCTCATAATTAATTGATAAATTATTATAGTTGTTGTTATAATGAGCACGCCGTAACTTGAAAAATGTTAATTTTTTTCTAAACGTTTAGTGGTTAATAATTTGTTATTATAATAGATATAGATAATAGTTATAGATAATTTGGGACTACCAGTTTACAAAACGTTTTAGTATTAATACATTTTAATTTTGAATTGATATAATAATAATTATTAATTAGTGAGTAGGTACCTACTTGTGATCAGAGTTGGAAAATATTAAATTAAATAGCAAGTACCAAGTAAAATAAATCGAATAAGTTATTTAATTATAATAAACAGATAATGTTTGTACGATATTTATTATTTATAACTGTTATAACTTCAAACAATATTTTATTTAAAAGCATTTTTAATTGACTATTACAATTACGTTGTTTTTTTTTATTTTAAACAATTTAAATTTGTGATTCGATAATGTCCAGCGGTTTGTAAATGACCTAATACGGTGAATTTTTAACATTTTACATAACATTCGAATTATTTTTTCAAACGATAAATGTTTTATTTGAATAAAAAAATTAAAGGCCGAAGTAAATTATTTAAAGAAACTACGGGCACGCGCAAAACTTTCGCACCTATACACGGTCTAAAGATGTTCGCGACTCACGACAATGTGCATGTTCGGAATTCAAAACAAGTCTCTCTCTTATTTTTTTTATTATTTATTTTACTTGAAATTCGACGCACCGGGTAGCGTGCAACAGAAGGAACGAATAGGCAATTCAAAGTACATTTATATCAATTTTGTCGTCGACCTTTGTTATGCCGCGCCGCCGTTTCCTTAATCTCGCTTTTCCGCCTAACCGCAATTTATTCTTTTATGTATCCATTACACTCGGCTTTTAATATCCGCTTTGTCGCCGACCCCTTATACCTATATGTACGTCAAGGCTCGTCTCTCGATTCAATATAATATAAAATAGTATGGCGACAACGGAAAGCTCGATTGTCCTCTGTCAATCGACACGAAAAAAAAAGTAATTGAAATTTGTAATAGGTGACGCCGCCAAATGTATTGGATAAAAGACGATTTTTTTTTTTTACATATTTCACCCACAACAAAAAACCACTTGAAAACAACATAAGTTTTCACCATCAGAGTTCACCACTGATCGTCTGTTTTCAATTGTCATAACGTTATTAAATGTGTTTACTATAAACATATTTGTTGAGAAGTAAAATAGAAATGTTTAAAAAAAATAATAATAATATTTTACGTTGCATTAGTTGGCCTAAGAAGGTAATAATTAAGGTAGGTAATTCATCACTTTCGGATGTAACGCAACGTTATAGTTGGCCTAATTATATAAAAAAAGAATGTTTGTCTTTCTCAACGGGTCAGTCTTTGGTGAGCACTGATAACGGTAAAGTTTGTGTTCACATTATACATATTATAATATTATGCAAATATTGTTTGTTATCTTTTGGGGGTTGTGAAATTTTTTATGATTTATTCTAGTTTTAATACCTATTAACCAGCCACGGTTAGGTCAGACGTGAAGATTGCCTAGTCGGTCCTCGTCTAAATAGTAAAATACGCTTGTACGACTTAAAATATTATGTGGATTGGGATAGATAATGTAATTTTTACGAAAAACATGTTCAACATATATTTTTCAAATAAAAAACTCGGCAAGCCTTTTTTTTGGAAAATATTACACTTTAGATTTTAGAAAGTTCTACGCGATATAAGAATTATATTATTATAATACGTTTTTATTGTATAATTCCAGGTTTTATTGCCACAGCCGATCAACTGTCCAAAAGAGATTTACGACTTGATGTGCGAGTGCTGGCAAAGAGACGACAAGAGTCGACCGAATTTCCGGGAAATACATTTGTTCTTGCAGCGGAAAAATTTGGGATACAAACCCGAATGTGACCCTTAGAACATGTTAATCGTCGGGTTAGGTTGGGTTTACTTAAGTACTATTATACGTTTTTTTTTATTTAGGTTAACTCTATTTAAGTCCATAGTTCTAATAAATTGTAGACGTATAAATGTGTGCTGAATTTCTTGCCGCAATTAACATTGTATTTTTATACACTTGAATACCATATTATAATGTTTTTCATTATAATATATTATTAGTGTTACCTATTATTTATTATAATTTTATTTATAAACATACTTATAAATAATTGATTATACTAAAACTATACATATAAGTAAATAATATAGGAATCGATCGAACAGCATTGGTTCGATTGGTATTTAATTTGTGTTTTTCAATTTGTTTTTGACGTTATATCGAATATTGCTTCCAAGCATATTTTTAGGCATTATAGTGAGATTGCGATAAACTTTGTCATTTAAAATATTAAGCTGTTGTTAGACACTATAATATTGAAATGACAGTTTATATTTATTATTGTTATAATATAATATTAGTTGGGATCAACATTGAGTACTTATTTTATAATATTAACAATAGTATTATTATTATTTTAATTACCGACATATCCATTTATAACGACTTTTTTCTTTAAAACTTACACTTTTTAGTAGAGATACAATAATTAGACGTGGTGTTTAATCATTAATTATGTTTTACAGAAAAAAATTGTAACGCGTTATTCTCGGTTAATTATTTAAATATTAATTATAAATATAATTTAGCATTAATTCATAGTTATAAGACAGTTTTTAAAATTAACAAATGCAGATAATCTACCTAATATATCCTAGTATGCAACATTGTAATAGGTAACTATTCAAATAAGTCAATGTATTTTAAAACAACATAACATTATGTTATGCTGCCTTTAAAAAAAACCCAATACATATTATACAGTTCCAAAACGAAGTAGAAAACTGCTTTCAATAAATGTTATTATGTTATAATAATAGTAGTATTATAAGTTATATTATTCGTATAATTATAAGGTTGGTGCTATCATAAAAATATCATACGCCATATACTTTAATGTGTAAAAAACTCGGCTTTTACACTTTTAAAAATATTAATGTAAAAACATTTGTTTTCCTTTCTATCGGATTTACCTAATTGATGAAATGTTATAATACCAGCCATACTATTTATTAATGGGTATACATTTTTTAAAACCAGACGTTAAATTTGTCCAATGGTGCTTTGAAATATCCATTTGGTCCCCTCGAAATTCAGCTCCTTCCCAGTTTATTTTTTTGTGTATAATGTATATGTATAATAATTATTCTTGGACAGATTGACAGATTCAATTATGTATTATTAATGAACGTGTTAAGTTATACACGGGGTTGTGAATTTAATGCACTAAAAACAGGCATTGTAAAACAAATATTTAAAATGTTCTCTAAAAAAAAGAAATGGAAAATAAATGTTCGTATTTAAAATGATGAAATCACACACTTTATTTAAATACATATTGAAATTTCTACTTTTAAAATTGTATGTACAGAGATGACATAAACAGTATTGGGTATTTTGTAAGTATAATTCGATTTGTAGACATCAGAATAACAAAGATTGGATTATCTGGTTAAAACAATCTAAAAACTAATACGGTATCTACCTATACGGGCTAAAAATTTTTAAAAAAATCTTAAGTTAAATGATTTCATAAAAATATGCATCTAAATTTAAATATGCAAAAATCAAATTTCGTTGACGCATTCGTAGAGGTATTAACAAACTTTGACTGAACGAATTCCTTCTACGCAGTAGTAAAATGAAAAACATTTAAATGCATTCAATTCACAGCCCTAGACTTATTATCATGGTATTACCTAAGTTAGTTAAATTCTTAAGAATTACTTAAGTATTATAAACTTATATACCTATTATTACTCACTATTTAGTTGATAAGTTAACAATTTTTTAAGCGTACATATAAAACTATAATAACGATGTTATGTAAAAATAATGAACTCAGGGTCTATAAATTGATCGTTTATTGGTAAAAAACCAATAAGGATAAAATACCATCCGTGCTCCGCACCCAAGATAAAACTTTTTAAATTATAAAATACGATATTTTTATCAATTTTAATTCGTAATAACAGTTTTAATAAATTTATCAACTTGAAATTTAAATCTCACGACTACTTAATTGCCCACAAATACGGTTTTTAGTGTATAAAAAGGTAAATACGTAGTTCCCTTATATTTTGTTGCAATTTTCACTTATTTAACATATCATTCTTGGTATGTTTATTTTAATATTAAGAACTAATATTTGTCTCTCTCCGATTTCTTTGTTTTTATACACTAGATGTTATTATAAAACCTTTTTCAAATGCCATTTGTTGTCTAAGACCTTTATAATTATTTACCCAATATAAAAAAAAATACTTAAAACTAGTATAAAATTGTTTATGTTATCAATTTGGCGATATTCATTGTTTTTCCTAAAATTATGCAATATTAAAAATGTTTCTTTTTTCGTTATCAATACTATTTTCGGTTTAATCTACGACTCGGACACACATAACAATTTTTTGTAAACAAAAAATATAACCGGTATTAAGCGGACTATTTGTTTTATAAATAACACTCAACATTGATCAACGTGTATCAACTTTTGTAAAAAAATGTTATTTATAAGTTACCAATGTATAAACTATAAGTAGTTGAAGGGAAAAAAAACAAAAGATTTCCATTCCAAGTTTTCCATTTGAAATGTAGTGTTTGGACTCGAACAACGGTTCACTCAATGTGTGCCAACATTTATATTATGATTTATGTGCATGTACAAAGTGCATATACATTTCATATACAAACATGTTTAAATACATTTTACTAATTTTCCTTATTAATCAATTTTTAATAAATCATTTTAAAATGCCTCCTATAAGTTGATATTTGTATTAAAATTAAAAAATTTCATCAAACCCTTCTCCCCCTCCCTCAAGTGTCCTGCTAACAATGTACATAATTTTCTAATATATAATGTACATAACTTTAATGTTTTTAATATATTATATACTAACCACACATGCATGCAAAATGCCTATGACAGTAAAGATCATTTGTTGACAATATCTTCTGTAAATATCATAATCTTAAATTGGGAAATATTTTTAATATTTCGAATAAAATTTAAGATACTTTTTGTATGTTGTTTTTATAAAATTATCTCTGTGATTATATTTTTTTTTTTTTTTTGGTAAGGAAGATGGTATTTTAACATAACCGTACAGCTATGTTTATGGTCTTGAATCTTGATAATAATAATTATAATGGTTGAAAATAAAATATGCTTTGATATGTTTTTTTTGTCACAATCTTATTTTTTCTTTTTTTAAGGCTATGATAACCAGTGTAAGACAAAATTTAATTCAAAATTTGTTCATGGGTTTTTTTTATTAATAATAAATTTAAATCAAGGTCTAATTTGAGTGATCTTAGGTTTGATTTCGACTCAGTATTATGGTTACATAAACTGCATAATATTTTGAAAATTATAGAAATTAACATTGCTGTCTCATAACCAATGGTTCTTATTGGAATTTAAGCACCTCAATTTAAATAAAATATAATAAATTGATACATTACAGGTACTCCACCATTTTTAGCACACTGCTGTTTTTTAAGTTATGCACTTATTTTCATCGCTATTCCTAATATTATTTCTCTTTGTTCATGGTTAACCCAATTGATTTAAGAAACTAATATGGAATCATTTAATTTGTTAAACATCAATTGTATTTAAAAAAAAGTCTTAAGTCTAGAAACTTGTAAATATATAAAATCACGTAAATAATCGAATGGTTTTATCAGCACCACAAGTCAACACCCACGGTTCAGTAGGGTGGAAAGTCACACCAAAAATACCGAAATCTGAGGTTTCTTCGTGTTCTTTCAGTAACTTCAATGGTACAATTAAAGGATTTTGAAGTAAATCACTAAAATAAACATAATAAGAATAAGTAATAAAACTGATGAATTCAAAATATCATTAATAACAAAATACACTTACTTGTAGACCATTCCATGTGAAACGATCAATGATCTATCGTCAGAACCAGAAGCAAATAGTGGATAACGTTTATGAAACGCTACTGATCGAACAGCTGTCGAATGTAACCTTAGAGTTTTATAAGGTTTAGTAGAAAGGTCTAGATCAAACCATAGCATTTTTCTATCATAAGTTCCAACAATTAAGTTATCGCCGCCTGCAAAAAACATGATTATTTATGATTTCATAGATATTAAAATTATATTTAAATATATTAGCAAATGACTAGTACATTTTATATAACTAACAATATTATATGCTCTAAATTAAACATCAATTAAAATAATAATGAAATAAAAATTACACTTTCTAAAATGTAAAATATTGCTTAAGAGAAAAAAAACAAATATATCTATTATTGATATTAATGTAACACAAATATGTACCTGGATGAATTGCCATTGAAGATATCCATTTCGCATAACTCATTAATTTCTTAAATAATTCTTGTTTGACCAAATCGTATATTCGAATATTTTTTTGAGTCTACAACAAAAAATAATTTCAAAAGGTTTTAACGTGTTTATTTTGAACAAATTAGTTGAAACTAAAAACTTACCGCAACAAATAAGAATGGTCTAATTGGATGAAAAAGAACGCTTTGTACCAGTCCTTTCGATTTAGCAAATGGTAATTGTGAACGCCTAGTCGACATTTGATGGATGAGTACTGAACGATTCGCTCCATCTGGCATAACAGTTGCAGCGTAATCTCCACGGCCATGCCAAGTAACCTAAAATGGTTGAAATGTTATAGAAAAAATATTTTTAAATAATAAATAAGCATGGTTAAATTGAACCATGATGACAAGAATTTCTAATTTATGAAAATCAATATCGGTTCGTTTACTTGTATAACTTACAATTTACATGATATTTTTTCTTATATATTTTGACAAACTATACATCAAATAACGTGTTTTTTCCAGTGAAAACTAATAAATTTTATTATTAAAACATTTGTAAAATAAACTAATACCTTCTCAGCTTTGTATCAAAACTAAGAGTATTAGCTTATGTCATTAAAAAAGCAAATATTTTAGTACTCTTTGGAAAAACAACAAATCTGTAAGTCTTAATTTGAATACAAAACCTGTTCGTTTTTGTAAGATAATTTAAACATACTAGTTTTCTTAAGACACGTGTACTTGAACACTGTTATAAAACATAATAATAAACTTAAATAAATGCAAATTGATTAACCTGTTTTATTTCTTTGAAATGATTTAACACTATACGAATGCCATTTTCCCATTCTTCAGGTGTAGCTTCTTCCCACTGAACAACTGCTTTGACTTTATCGGACACTGAAGACATAATAATATAAGTGAGTTATAACCATAAGTAATACTTTACAATTAAGAACTATGATATTTAAATATACAAACCAATTGATGCTTGAACAGGAGGTGTTGAAAGGATTGTGTCTGTTTTAGATACAACCAAGTGATCTCCAACTCCGGGATTTATTATCATCAGTTTACGATCAGCAACGACCGCTATCAGCGATAAAGCCTTATTTGGATTCCATTCAACACTTCGCACTATACCTCCAACTGGTATCGTTCTCAAACAACGAGCAGTACTAATTTCCCAAACTAAAAAAAATATAGAATTTAATAATAGTTTGTAAAATATTACTAATAATGAATTGTCTTTATACTATTTACTTTTCACTGTCATGTCATCAGAACCGGATAATAAATATTGACCAATTGGATCAATTGATATGCACCGAACCATATCAGTGTGACCGCTGAATACCAAAGACTGAATCGTCGGAAACGGTTGAAGATCTTTTGGACTAGGCAGCTTAGGCAAAAGATCTTCTGGCTCGATGGTTAACTACAATGGCAAAACAAAAATTAAATTATAGTTCTTTCATTCTCTGACTTTTAACTAAGAACTTACTCTCATTTTTCTAGCTCTGGGACACAAATATAAGTCCATACATCTCGTAAATCTTTCTTTGGTAAACTTGGGATAAGCGGGTACACTTCGTAAACTTGGATACTTTTGCGGTATAAAATGTAGCTTGCGTTTCCACGGGGTTTCCTCTTGTTTTTTCCATATTCTCATCTAAACCATTACATACAATATAAATAACTGTTGAATGATAATTAAAACAATTAAAAATCTATTATAACTCACTTCACGGTCATTAAACATAAACTCTGGAGGTGGATTATAAGATTCGGCGTGCGTAGGTAAGTTTCTTTTTGGTGCAGGTATGTGATCAGTGATTCTTCTCATACTCTTATCTTCGGCGTCATCTGTACTCCACATCATGTAGAAATTACGTTGGCGTTTCTTTTCACGCTCCCTGCGCTTTTGCTCCCTTGTTTTGAGCAAACCGGCTCTTATTAAACGAGCATAGCGCTCAACACGTTGTGCTTCTTGTCGACTGGCTATAAATGATCTTTTATGGTCAGCTGAATTACGAATAGGCATGTCCATGACTTCTGAAGTAAACCAATCGATCCAAGGCTAAAATTGATTTGTAATTTTATCAAATATACTATTTGACCAATTTATATGTACATATAACAACCAAAAAATGTAACTAATGGCCCGGCAGCCAATGCTGTTGATCTAAGATGAATAAAGAAAAAAAATAATAATAAATGTCTAAACCCTTACTGCATATTCTTCAAATGTCGAGTCTGGTATTTTACTAGATTCTATTCGCTGTATAAGTTCAATATCTTTATCACTGAGAACAACATCTTGACCGGTTTGTAAATCTCTAACAGTACGCCTACATTTACACATAAATATTACTTATATGCACATTTTTTTAATGTTTAATAATTATTATTTAGTTTTTATATCAACACCCGTAATGAAAAGTAATGGGTATTATTTTCCTTACGAAAAATAATGACATTTTTTAATGTCACATAAACCAGTGTATTTGAACATTTTTATGGAATATTATCTTAGCATCTTAATGATAAATAAATTAGTAAAACTTATTTAAATTATTTTCTTTTAAAAAGATTTGCCACAAAAGTAATACATTTTAGATGGCTTCAATTGAGTTTTAAGTAAGTCTAAATTGTTGTGGCAAAATTAAAACTTTTTTTTTTTATTGGAGGCAAATACACTTTTTTTCATAAGGCAAAAGAAACAATTTTCATAATGGGCATTTCAACAACAAATCAACAAAAAACATTTCAATGATAAATTACCAGAAATCAGGATTCTCCATTTTCTCCATAAAGTTGTCCAACTGATCACCACGTTCCGGCTTGATAATTTTTTTCCCGTCCCAATCATAACCAATATGAGGGTATTCATCATACCAATTCATAGGTATATTTCCTACAGTGTTCCTTATGTCCTTTAAGTAATAAAACAGGATGAATTTATTTATATTTATTTTTGAGTTCTAAAATATGTTGAAATTTTGACTAACTTCTTCGTCCGATGTGTCCATTTCTTCTTGATATTCTTCGTATTCATTCTTATCGTTCGTCTCTTCGATAGCTGGGGCTGGGGTTGACTCCATATTTCTGAATTATATTTAAATACTACACCAGTCTATTTAATTTAAACAGTTAAACATAAATGCTAATCAAAAATAATTTAATAACAACACCTTGTTATATTATACAAAATTTCGCATGGCCCATGGGACGAGCTCAGCTCATGATTGCTATGGTGTTAGGAACGAAGGTTGTGTTAAGAAGCACGTGTTTTCAGATGCTTATCACACGGTCGGCTTTATGATTGATAAAATACGTTGCTAGTATCATGCTTGTAAATTTTTTTAATTAATACATTTTACAAATTGTCCAACAACACGAGTCAAGACTTGATGTTAGTAATTAGTATTTACTATTCATAACAACTTGGAAACTTCAGATTTTTTATTGTTCTTAATATTATTTCACTTACAGTACTCTCTAACTAATCACAAGGCTATAACCTATAATTTATAATATGTATATTTTAAAATATAAATAATAATTAATGTAATATGATGTATAATATTACAAAACACTAATTATTGTATACTTACGAATTACGATAAATTCTATTTTATGTTTACTATCAAATCGTTATTCATATAGGTAGAACAAATACAAAATAAGTATATGTTTGCTTGCTAATTTAATTCTCAATAACAATACAGTCAGGTAGGTTTTTTTCAAAAGCTCTACACGCATAACTCATTCCATTTGAGTAAAAAATGTTAATGAGAACTAAAAATCGTACCTAGTAGCATATTCGGAGCAAATGAATAATGACTTAAGATTCAAGTAACTTTTTTTTTTAATCGTGAAGTCAGTTTTAAGCGGTTGGACTTACTTTTGAAGTTAATAAGCAAAAACAAATTTTACTAATTTTTTTATGCAATAACTTCGTAAATAATATAACATTTTTCAAAGTACGTATATTTACGTTTAAACAGAGGTGAAGGCAGAGATTGAATATTTTTTTTTTTTAAGTAAAAACATAATTTTCGTATTATTAAACAATTTTTAACTATATTAAACAAACTAAAAATATACCTACTTATACCAAAATAAGTATAAAAATACCTATTTTATCATGGCGTCAAAAACCACTATCATGTGGAATTATGGCCATTGTGAGTTAAGAAATTTAAACCCCTTTTCTCAAAAAAGTTAACGACACATTTTCACCCACAACTCACAAGTATGAAAATGTAACGATTTAATACAACGATAGATAAGACACGTTAAAAATAGTGTTATTACGAATAGATTAATGTACATCACAAACTAGCTTTTTGTATGGCATGCGTTGCTCTAAGCATATGTATCTGGAGATCTAACTTCCGGACACATTTTCAAAAAAATTACCGTGATTACTCTTCAGAATACCTTCTCGGGTCTCGGGATAGCATATTCCACGACTGGAGTGCGTAAAGCACATTTATGGTCATTACATGTTTTATGATCAAACTGTTCGATTCAAACAAATCATATTATATCTTAACAAATTATTGAAAATATGATTACTTTGTTTCCAACTAAATATGATATGCAACTATCCATAATATGTAACTATAACTTATTGTAGATATTCTACTTATAGTCTATAAGTAGAATATCTACACGGTCTAAGATAATTATTGGTAGATATTTTATTGTTTTTCAATAATTAAGGAAATTGAACATTTTAAAATACAATAAAAAAGTTCATAATTGAATGTGTAATTAAAAAAGGAATATTAAGAAATTACTAATATAACAGCACTAAAACTTGTGGACATTTCCTCTAGTGATTTCCAAAACAAGATTTATTACAGGTACCTTCGTAAATATCAATTTAGTTAATTTATTTCATTATTGTATGTATATTTATTGACATTTAGTTGTACAGAACTTTTTTTTTTAGGATAGAAGCCACGTGATGCAACATTTGCTTACTTTAAAATATATTTTTATGCATTTAAGTATTTAACGTTTGACGACGTTTAAATAATAAAAGAAGTTATCAAACAAATCATTGAGCAATCAGAGATAAAATTACTAATTACTATATTTCCCTTTTATATATAGCACTTTTTATCTGAATTACCAACACACACAAATTACTAAAATTAACTTTCCACTTTCCTGTGGGCTTTGATACGATGCGAAGTGAAAGTATTACTTTGATTGGGATTATAACTTCAAAAGTAAGCTAGTAATTCAACTATAAATATTATGAATACCTACTAATTGTAAGTAGACACAAAATAAATTAAAAAACCACCACCATGGGTGGGGGAAATGCGGGACATCGGCAATGACGACTGTCCTAATCATATATAATAAAATGTTAATGTATAATAAAAACGCGTTCTACCCATTCACAGTCACGATATTTTATTTAACGTGTGGAGAGAATACGGCTTCAGGTACTTACTTAATACACTTTTTGAAATATATAATTTAATTAAATAAATGAAATTTCCAGTATGTATGTAAAAGCGTTTAAAACTATTAATATTATACAGTTAAAAATGGTCAATTTTATTCAAAATTACTCTGTAAAATATATCATATAGGTAGGTCCAACCTTATTTAGTATAGCTAGACACGGAACATTAGTTATTTGAAAAAAAAAAACTTTAGTTTTATGAAAGAAAATTGTCACTATCGGACTATTGGACTATCACATGAACATAATTTAGTATTTGCCATATAAAATGATAATACCGCTTCCCACTTAAATGTTTTAAGTTTTAACGGTATATATTATTTATACGCCTTATAAAGTTTATGTGTTTTTTAAATTATAATATAGTAATAAAGTCTAAACTAATATTTAGTAATTGAAGAATTGTCGTGGGTTTACATATGCGAGTATAGACTATAGGAAACTTAAATACTGTGGTTTTAACAATGAGGTTACCGAACCTATGTTCTTAGGTGTGAATAATAATTATTTTAATAAGATTATAACTCTTTTGCTAAAATTTCAAACCTTAACAGGTTTTTGTAAGTATGATTCACGGATTTGTAATTTGTTTGTGTAATTCAAGTTCACTGTATGCACGCAGTATATTGATTAACTGTGAAATCACTCAAGTTTTTAAGTATACATGTACAGGTCTCTCAACGATTTGACAAATTTATTAACTTTTGTTATAGTGAATATTTTTAAGTTTTTTTTGTAAAAATAATTTCATATCTTTGTGGAACATCTAACATCTTATATACTGATATACATAACTACATAGCTACATGATAGTATACTGGTATACTAACATACAAAGACTAAAGTATAAGCAGCCGAATGTAATAAAACAACAAAAATTAAAAATAGGCCAAATTATTTTAATACGAATGGGCATTTCTCAATTAAAATTTTGTATTTTTTTTAATTTTAAATAACATTTACAATCTGTACATCGACGCGTCGTACGAAAAGTAGCACCGTTCAAGTTCTTACGAAAACTAACACCAATGGTACCAAGTCACGAACGGTGCTGCTAGTCTTCGTAAGAACTTGAACGTTGCTAATTTTCGTACGACGCGTCGACATAAAGAAAAATATACAATAAGCAAATATGTTAACAATGTAAATAAATGACTTGGAGACTACGAGTAGGGAAGCTATCCAGTGATAGGACCCTTTGGTTTCGGCTAGAAATCAAACAGTAGCATTGATGCAATTTAGAAGATTTAGACGACTCCAACATCTTTTAAGACGGCGAGGGTATTGTCCGGAATAGTGGCCTGTGGCTGTGTGCTGGCTTGCGATTAATGGATTCTAGTGGAGAAGTAATCTTGAGTGGAACTTTTTATAGTGAATCTTAACTAAACTTTCAACTGATTCGATGTGTAAGTCATTGTGAAGTGTGGAAACATACCGTGGAGCGGACGTGATTATACGGAGGGAAATTGATTGGAAAGCTTCTATTGTTTTTAGTTGGGATGGTTTAGCACAACCCCATAAAAGTTTAGTATTCAAAATCAAAATATTCTACAAGGTTAAGTTGACATCAATAATTAGTTACTTCGTATTATTACTAATAAATGTTATAATTATGTTTACAATTGGCTGTTGTCTTATGTAATTAACATTATGGTGACTGATGAACGTTTTCCTGAAAATGTACTTTTGTTGTATTTACAGTTTACACGAATGTTGTGTAAAAGGAATTTCTCAGAAAATCGAATAAATCCCCCCTCAGTGGATATAGACACTGGCCTAGCACTTCAAGATCAGGTTGCCACTAGGGAAACATTAAACGAAACAGGGGTAACAATATTAGGGCGAGGGTTCTTTTCCTAAGTTCTTGCAACTATTTTCGTTTTTGTATTGACGTTCCGTATTGCTTTATATTACATTGCTACCAAAGCAAAAATGTCTACTATGCATTTCAATACAGGGTGATCAATTTAACGTAAGCACCCATTTTCTTGGTAAATATTTACAATTGTATAATTTTTCTTTTTAAAATTTTTTTAAAAAAATATCAATCGAATGTACTGTTTAAAATTCCAATAGTAACTCAAAAAACAAAACGATACCTTAATACCTATGTATCTACTATCTAACATTGTATCAATTATTCAGTTTTACCAACAAGTAACTCTCGCGCATTTCACGCTTACTACATTGTTATATCAAACGGTTTTTCTTCAGGTGGTGAGTGATCTGAGATGTCACTTGTGAAGAACCGCTTCTAGGTACTTTTATCTCAAACTGGACCGTGTAATATCATACGTATAAAAATGTAGTATATGTACATCACACTAACGTTCGATTCAATTCGAAAATAATAACAACGCGTTACGATCCGTTGTCCATAACTAATCGCTATTATTCTGGCACACAATATATATAGTTAGGTCGTACCTATACATAAATATACCTATGTGTGTGTGTGTGTGGTTGATAACGGACGTATATGCATCGGACACGCGAACCAAAAGAATGTGCGTTGGCATGTCCGTGATTTAGGTTTATATACGTTCAATGTTTATTATTTTTTTTTTTTACAGATTCAAAGAGAGTGAAAGAGAGAGAAATAGTAGTACGGACATGATCAAGATCATGGGAGGTGGAAACTAAAGTAAACGATCACGTTTATAAACATGGCAAAAAGAAAAATGTATAGGTTTTTTAAAATCTTATTTCGAAAATTAATACAATATTATAACATAATAATTATACTTATTATGCATATCGATTTT